TCACAAAGAAACAAAAGAACTAACAGAAGTTATGTCCTAATTGGGTTTAACAGACAACTATAGAACATTCCATCCAAACACAAAAGAAAATAATGTCTTCTCAGATCCACATGGAATCTTCTCTAAAATCGAAGACATACTAGGCAACATAACAAACCTCAGTGGATACATAACAAACCTCCTCCCTGCCCCTTACTCCCTATCTCTTCTCCATTCTGCTCTCCAGGGTGGGTGTTGCCTTCCATGAGGTATCTTTAAAGTGGGTCATATCATTTGGAGTAGGGCCTAGGCCCACCCCCATGTGTCTAGGCTAAGAGAGTATGCCTCTATAGGAAATGGACTCCCAATGTCTATTCATATATTAGGGATAAATACTGATTCGCCACCAGAGTACCCATAGATTGCCCAGACCTCCTAACTAACACCCATGTTCAGGAGGTCTTGATTTTTCTATACTGGTTTCTCAGCTATCAGAGTGGGGTCCATGATCCCCCTCTTGTTTAGTTCAGCTATTTCTGTTGTTTTCTCCAGCCTAGGCTTGACCCTTTAGGTCATCACTCCACCCTTTCTGCAACTGGATTCCAGGAGTTCAGCTCAGTGTTCAGCTGTAGGTGTCTGATTCTCCTTCCATCAGCAACTGGATGGAGGCTCCTGTTTGTGTTTGTGTGAGTGGGATACATCACTCTGGGTGATTTCTTTTAGTTCCATCAATTTGCCTGTGAATTTTAAGATTCCATTGTTTTTTCCTCTGAGTAGTACTCCATTATATAAATGTACCATATTTTCTTTATCCATTTTCAGTTGAGATATGTTGCTTCCAGGTTCTGTCTATTACAAATAATTCTGCTATAAACATAGTTGAACAGATACCCTTGCTGTATGAACATGAAACTTTTGGGTATACGTCTAAGAATGGAATTGATGTATCTTGTGGTAGACTGATTCCCACTGTTCTGAGGAACTGTCACACTGATTTACCAAGTGGCTGTACGAGTTTTCATTCCCATGTGCATTGGAGGATTGTTCCCATTTCTCTCCATCCTCTCCAGCATTAACTGTCATTGGTGTTTTTTATTTTAGTCATTCTGACAAGAATAAGATGGTATCTCAGAGTTGTTTAGATTTGCATTTCCTTATGGTTAAAGATATTGAGCACTCTCTAAAGTGTCCTTCAGTCATTTTAGATTCCCTTGTTGAGGATTCTTGAGGTATCTGTGTAATTTAGAAATTAGCTCTCTGTCAGATGTAGGATTGGTAAATATCTTTTACCTTTATGTGGGTTGACATTTTGTCTTGTCTTGTTTACTGTCTTTTGCCTTACAGAAGCTTCTCAATATCTGGAGGTCCAATTTATTAATTGTCAACTCAGTGTCTGTGCTACTGGTGTTATGTTCAGGAAATGTACTCTTGTACAAATTGTTCAGGGTATCTCCTACTTTCTCTCTTAAGAGGTTCAGTGTGGCTGATTTATGTGGATGTCTTTGATACAGGGATGGTCCAACATAAGAAAATCTATCAATGCAATGTAATCCACCATATAAAGAAACTGAAAAAGAATAACCACATGATAATCCCACTAGATGCTGAAAAAGCCTTTGACAGAATCCAACACCCCTTCTTAAAAAAGGTCTTGGAGAGTTAATGGATAACAGGAATATACCTATGTATAATAAAAGCAATATACAAGCCAACATCAAACTAAATGGAGAGAAGCTCAACATGATTCCTCTAGTTTCAGGAACAAAAGGAGTCTATCTGTTTTCCATATCTCTTCAATATTGTACTTGAAGTTCTAGCTAGAGCAATTAAACAACAAAAGGAGATCAAGTGGATACAAATTTGAAAAGAACAAGTCAAACCTTCACTATGAGTAGATGATAAGACAGTTTACATAAGTGACCCAAAAAACTCTATCATGGATTTCCTAAAGTGATAAACAACTTCATAAAATGACTAAAAAAATCAGTAGCCCTACTATATAAGGAAAATAAATGGGCTGAGAAAGAAATAGAGAAACATCACCCTTTATAATACCCACATACAACATAAAATATCTTGGTAGATGCTAACCAAAAAACTGAAAAACCTGTACAGCAAGAAGTCTGAGTCTTTAAAGAAAGAAATTAAAGAAGGTACCAGAAAATGGAAAGATCTCCCATGCTCTTGGATAGGTGGGATAAACATAGTAAAAATGATGATCTTACCAAAAGCAATCTACAGATTCAGTGCCATCCCCATTAAAATCCCAGCACAATTCTTCACAGACCTTGAAAGGACAATACTCAACTTTATATGGAAAAAAGACGCAGGTTAGAGAAAACAATCCTGTACAATAAAGGAACTTCAGGAGGCATCACCATCCATGACTGACTTCAAGCTCTATTATAGAGCTTTAGTACTGAAAACAGCTTGGTATTGGCACAAAAAAAAATAGATGGGTTGACCAAAAGAGTCAAATTGAAAACTCTGATGTTTGACAAAGAAGCTGAAATTATACAATTAAAAAAAGAAAGCAACTTCAACAAAGGTGCTAATGTAATTGGATGCTGCTGTGTAGAAGACTGCAGATAGAGCCATATCTATTGCCATGCAAAAAGTCTAAGTCAAAAAGTCTGTTTTTTTGTGTATGGAAGTGTATGAGGTGTGTGTGTGTGTGTGTGTGTGTGTGTGTGTGTGTGTGTGTGTGAGTAAAGCAGAAAGTAATAGTTCAAATGTCATCTCAAAGCCTATGCTGAATTTTAAATGTCATTATAACAATGTTAAGAAGTGAGATCTTCAAAATATGTGATAAGGTCATAAATATTGTTCCTTCTTGATGTAGGTTGATTGTGAATGTTGCCCAGAATTGTTTAGGGGTATTATGAAATATTTAATGGTGAGGACTATTTGGTGGAAGTAGTTTACTTAAAATGAACTATACATTGAACAGCCACAAACCACTCTCTCTAACCTGGAATTCCAACCATAATGATTCCAGCCTTTGAATAGCCATGTATAAAAGCCAACTCTGCTACCATTTTTCAGCAGTTGTTGGGTTTTTCTCAGTGTTGCCAATTTCTACTGCAAAGTAACTAATTTCTCAGTTTCATGGCAGGTTAGATGTAGCACTTGGAGCTTTTGTCTATGTGTGGGAGGTTGTGGTTGTTCTTACACTTGTCAGATGGAAGTAGAAAGAAGATTATGAAGAGGAGAAAGAGGACACACACATACAAGAAGAGAGAGAGAGAGAGTCATGTGCATGGGAATTGTCACCCATAAGCTTGCTTTCAACAACCTACTTCTTTCTTGCACGCTTCACCTCTTAAAGCATCATATGACATCCACAAATAGTACTTTTAGTTAGGGACTATGTGTTGACTCATGAAATTATGACAAAGATTTCACATTCAAAACAACACTTTGTGTAAGGATCAAAGTCATCATTGTAGTGGTGGCATAGCTAAGAACATCCAGTTTCTTTTTAGTCTTAGAAAGTACAATTGCTGACCACTGTGTCTTGTTATAGTGTAGCACCAAGGTCCTCACCAGATGCCACTGCTGAGTTCCTGGAAATAACTGCTTCGAGGATCACAAATTTAAAAATACTATTCATACAGTTACTGGCATTCCAGTATCCTGCTAGAGGAAACTATAGCATAAGAGAATCACAGCCTCTTGTAGCACAGAGTCTACAGGACTAACAGACACTGTAAGATAGTGATAGCAAGAGAGAATTTCAGAAAACTTCCTGTCTTATGAAGACAGTCAGGAGGACAAATAGAATCATTTGTCATTGGTTACATGATCAGAGAATGTGCTGGTTAGAATTTCTATTTTTGAGAAAAAAACACCTTTACCAAAACAACAGAGGAGGAATAAGTTTAGTTTGTTTACATTTCTCCCTAACATCATCCAGGGAAGCATCATCCAGGGAAATGAGGGCCAGAACATGGAGTCAGAAACTGAGGCATGGGCCATAGAGGGCTGCTGCTTACTTGATTACTCCTTGTGGCTTGCTCAACCCTCCATCTTAAAGTACCCAGTTCTGCCTGCCTACGGGTAGCCACACCTACAGTGGAGTGAAACCTCTCTGTCACTATTTATCACTATCAAACACTAATTTAAAAATTGCCCTACACTCTTGCCTGCAGTGTGATTCTATGAATGAATATTATCAGATGAAGTGCCTTCGTCGTAAATAATCCTAGCTTGAATCAAGTTTACATAAAAGCTAACCAGTAGAGATACCCAGTAGACCCAACTGTTCATATTCCAGATTTCAGTCTATCATTCTTCCTGGCTCAAGAGCATCTGCACTCCTGATTCTCTTACCTCTCCTTCTCTCTCTCATTTGTCTCTCATCTGTGTCTGCCAGGGGCCAGAGAGTACAAAAGGAACTCTTGAGAAATTGTATCTGCAGCCACTCAAAGACCCGGGCTAAGGAATGCATAGGCACACAGAGGAAAAAGCAACACTATTCTTCTCACTTAAATGCAATAAAATTCATATGAAACTCAGAATATAAAGAAAGGCCACCACAATTTAGGATTATATATGCAAACACACTCCAGACAAGCAAGAGTAGACCAACAAGCACATCTAGACTCAAATACAGAAACATACATCTGCACATTCATACAGTAAATGAACTTTCATATATTAAAAAGCATGCACTGCATACACAAGAGTGAATGTCTGAATAAATAAGCATACAGACCTGAGTAGGCATTCATACACTCACCCCCAGAAGGCTAGATATATTACACCCCATGCTCTTTTGTCCTATGTATCTAATTCATGGTGTCCTTGCCAACATCTAACATGGGGGTGAGGGACAATGAGCAAGCAGGTCACATGCAGCCAAACCAAGCAAGAAGTATGGGTGCTTACACTCCTGGAAAATGATGCAATAGAGGGTGGGAACAGATGAAGTTGCATAATTGAGTGCAGAGCTAGCCAGGTTCAGCATAAAAGGTCCTGCTGGGATGTGTAGTGAAATTTACTGTGTCCAGAAGAAGAAAATGGATCCTAGTGTCCTGCTCATTCTCACCCTTCTCCTGGGCTACTTAGTACTCCTGGTCAGAGGTCACTCAAAGGGTCATGGCCGACTCCCACCAGGACCATCTCCTTTGCCCTTCTTGGGAAACCTTCTGCAGATGGACAGAAGAGGCCTCCTCAATTCCTTCTTGGGGGTGAGACTTATATGGGGCCTAAGTGTGGGCTTGCTCCTGCCCATGTTCATGGAGATCAATCATCAGGATGTGCAAGGGACTTTATTCATGCTGTAGGTTCAGGTGGGAAATGTGTTGACTATAAGGTGAGATGCTGATTGGTGATGGATTATGCTCAGAGTGACAGTCTTGTCTTCACTATGCTGGAATCTTGTAGAGCACTGTGCTTGGAGTATGAAAGGTGTAGAAGTGTTGAGTTATATGCATGTGGAATTTTACTCTACGGGGTCTGTATGCTCCAGAAAATAAAGAAAACATTAAGAGGCATCAACAACAGGTTTTGATCCTTTCAGCAAACGAGAGTAAAGATTAACTTCAGGTGTTCGGGGATGAAGAAGAAGAAAGACAGGCAGGTTAAGGGAGGGTCAACTAGGAAGTGCTTACCAGTTTCTACCATAAGCTAGCATTGTAGTTACCAGTCTGTTCCATGACACTTCACACTTGAGATTTAACTATTAATCTCCACTTGTTTACTAATAATTAATGAGCTCTCGTGATACTACCACCCATGAGAGAGCTGAGACAGTCACTGTAATTCATTTTCTTGAAGGTGGAGTTCTGTCCTGACAGGTTCCACAGCCCTTTAGTCCCAAATAAATACACTGAGGCTTACATTATATATAAACTGTTTGGCCAATGGCTCAGGCTTCTATTGGCATGCTCTCTCTTAATTATTAACCCATTTCTATTAAACAATGTATTGCCATGAAGCTGTGGCTCACAAGTACTGCTCCTGCATGTTACTCCATTTGGTAGCTACATGAACTACCAAATGGAGCAACAGTCAGGTGACTCTGTGAGTTTCTCTTCCTAGAATTCTCCTACTCTGGTCTCTCTGGTTATTTTTCTTGCCTGACTACATCCTGTCTGTCAATTGGCCACAACGTCTTTATTCATCAACCAGTAACAGAAACATACACTCATAGCATATAGGAACATACAGAAGGACATCCCCCTTCACACTTCTCTGTCCCTCCCCATGGCTGTGGAGTTCTCCCTCTTGAACATTGTATTTTTACCCACTGACTTTTAAAAGATCGCCCACCCACGAGTGGCAAATTTATTTATTTTACCTTTATTTTGAGACTGGGTCTCTCCATGTTTTTTGTTTGTTGGTTGGTTTGGTTTTGTTTTGTTGATTTCCACCTCATGATTCTCCTGCCTTACCCTCTTAAATGTGATGACAAGGGTGCATCACCATATCTTACATGAATGTTTAAATCATATGCTTCTCCCATGTTAGAAAGCTCAAGACAACACCCTATTTGTTTGATTTTAGGCAGTCCTTTGACAATTCCACATGTGCATATCCTGGCTCTCTGTCATTTGTCATCCACCTTTCCTTGTCTCCTCCATTTTTCTACCACATAAACCCTTCTTTTTGTCAACAAGACCCTTCCTACCTTGATATCCTTTTGTTTTTGTCCACCGAGTCTAATAAGGGTCATTCATAGTGGGCTTATACATATTTCACTGCTTAGAGATCACTTAGCAAGAAGAAAAGGGGTGGCTCCTAGTCCCTAGGTTAAGGCGGGAAGGTTTGTGAGGAAAAGGTAAGATGTTAAACCTCACATAAACATGGCTGTGCCCTATTTGCTGGACCATGTGTATCTTATGTGACTACACCACTAAAGAAATTGACAACTTCCACCCACCACCCTGCACCACTATCTGCCCACAGAGCCACAATGAATGGTGGTAGCATGATGTCATAGTGACAGTGCTGTATCATTTACAGGAAGGAACGGTGATCTTAATGATATGAATACCGAGGATCCAGGAAATGTGTAGGAAATTAGAGCCTATACCTGATCTGATGTGATGATTGGTTGCCTTTCTAACTATATCTCTTGAATGATAAAGAGTCCTATGTTCTACCACATAACATTATAATGGTAGGTTCAGGGAGTAGAGATGCATTCCTGACACCCAGGAGCTGACAGCCTGGTTTGAGTGGAGAATAAGCAACCTAAAGTAAATTAGTTAAGACACCTGCCCACCTGGGTGATGCAGAGTACAGTCAAAGAATGGCTTTCCTTCCTAAAGTTAATATTTATTTCACATGTATGAGTGCCCTCTCTCTCCCCCTCTCTCTCTGTGTGTGTACCACATGTATGCTTAATGCTCAAAATGGTGTAGCATCCTAAAGAAATGACTTACAGATGACATGGGTACCATGGGAATGTTGGCAACTGAACACAGATCCTCTGGAAAATAGGATGTCCTTTTAAATACAACTTAATCTTTCCATCCCCACTCCCAAATGAATTTTAAGATAGTCTGAGGGTCCATAAGGATCCACACAAGAAATATATTCTGATCAGATTTCAAAAGACACTCTGGAGGGAGAATAAATAGGGAAAGGAGCTGTTTGTGAGGGTCAACAGTGGATGGTAAGGAAGAATTAGTTCCAGGTGAATAAGAGCATGATATAAAGGACAAAAGGTAGGTATTGAATATTTAGAATAAAAATATTTAATTGCGTTCCTGAGTCTTTAAATTTTTTGAAGTTCAAGGACAATTTTATAAGTAATAAAGAGGTAAACCCAAGGAAGGCATGTTGTGAATCTTGATGGCTGCCAGAGGAGGAAGATGAAGAGAAAGAGGGAAATCTGTGTTGTTTGTAGGCTTCCACATGGTGAAAGAGGGTGGGAGGTACAACATCGGAGGAAGAGAGAGGAAACACAACCATCAAGGAAAGCAAACTCAGCCTTGGTTTGGGATCCAAAAGAGGAAGATATTAAAAAGAAAAGAGAAGGAAGAATGTGATTATTATTTTTCTTTGGGGATTATTGGCTGTGGGTCCATGATGGAGGAGTGAACAGAAGAGAATGGGCAGGGTTGGATGGTTTGTGAGTCTAAGGAAACAGCTCTCCAGGGAGACAATGTAAGTATTACCATTCCACCTCATTCCAGATAGGGGTATATTTCAGGGACAGTGGCTGGGGCATCACCTAATTTGAATCAAACAGCATTATCCTATCATAAGTTCCTGCTACAAGTCATAGATAGCATGGTTATCATATGTGGAACAATTGTCCTATCCTAAAGCTCATACCACAGTGTCTAATATCAGAAGCAGGAGGAGATCTCTGGCAGGAAAATATGTCAATGGTCACACTGCAAATAAACCCAGCATGTAGGCCTAGAGAAGTTCTGTAAATAATGGCAGATAGAGAGGGAAGTGCCATTGAGGAGCCAGTCCTCCATGTTTTCAAGCCTGGGGAGAGCTGCCAGGCCATGGTAGACCACAATCACTGACCAGCAAGCCCTCCCAACAGAAGAAGAATGACTTTCAGAGTAAGGACTAGGAAAGCTACTGATAGGAGTTCTGCAAGAGGCTGCACTCTTGCAGAGTTATGGAATGAGCAGTACACTAATGCAACAAGGGTGGATCATTTCTCTCTGGGGCAATAAGGAAAATATTGCCCCTCCCATCTCCATATTATGGTTTAAGTGAATCAGCATTCCCTTGGTATTGTATCACCCCCAGTGAGACACCTCCTAATCCTAACATTTTCAAATAGTACACTTCTTTTTGACCAAATATTCTAATATATGAATCTATGAGGTCTATATTATTTTTTAAAATACAAACTTAGTCCTATCATTCCCTCCTGAAAATATTATAATTTTCTGGATAAGAGAATGAGTATTTAATGGTGGTTTTCCCATTGCTCCACCCTTTGAACTTTCCAGTAGAGCCATTTTCTTCGATATGGAAATGGAACCAAATTTGCAACAATTTTTAAAAATAAATATTAACAGAAATATATTCTCAGAAGCATAAACTGCCACAAGCCTTAAACTACAATTATTTTCAAGGCACAAATATTTTCCTATAGTCTCTAGCATGTCTCATTACTTTACTACTTATCACTGAGTCATATTAGAGGAAGTATTGCTTTAGCTAAATCCTACATTGTGCAACTTAGCATTTCCCTACAAGTTTAATGATAATTCCATTGCAATGCCAATTCATCATTCTCAGTTTTCCTACATCACATCTATATCTTGTTTATCTTTTGAGATAAGATTTCATGTAGCTCCAGTCTGGCTTCCAGATCAACAGCATCCAGGGATGACTTTGACCTGCAGATTTACCTCGTTTACTTCCCCAGTACTGACCTTATGACATGAGCCCCATACCCACGCCATACTACAGTGCAGTATTGCTCAGAATGTCCAACATCCATGCAGACCTTCACAGTGGTTGTTTACCCCTGAAACTGCTGTTTTCGGAATGAAAATGGTAGCCAGGGGAGGGGTTCCTATTTAACCAATAAGTGTTTTACCAGTGTAACAACAATATCTGCCCTGACTACCTCAACAATGGTTCCCTTATGCTTGGCAGTTTCAAGAAAAGTATGGAGATGTGTTCACAGTATACCTGGGACCAAGGCCTGTAGTTATGTTGTATGGGACAGAGGCCATAAGGGAAGCACTGGTGGACCAAGCTGAGGCTTTCTCTGGCCGGACAACGCATGCTGTGGTTAAGCCTATTTTCAAGGACTATGGTAGGCATGTCAAAATTTGGAATGAAATGGGATGGAGAATGGGCACAGAGAGTAAAAGCTGGAAGAACTTCCTCTGTAACTCACCCTTGCTTTCCCTACATTCTTAGGTGTGATCTTTGCCAATGGGGAACGCTGGAAGGTCCTTCGGCGATTCTCTCTAGTTACCATGAGAGACTTTGGGATGGGAAAACGAAGTGTGGAGAAGAGGATTCAGGAGGAGGCCAAGTGTCTGCTAGAGGAGCTCCAGAATGCCCAGGGTGAGTCCAACTGAATGGGAATAAGGGAAGATGATGTATCAGGGACATGAATGCACATACAAAGTAAGACAGGAGACATACATGGGCAGAGAAAAATACACACACAGAGAGACACATGACACAAACACGCACACATGGAAACAGACACACACTCACACAATACACATATGCTGTGGAAGGATGAGATGGCGGAGAGAAACAGAAAGATAAAAGAAAAAAGTGACATTAGTTCATTGAAGAATAACTCAGAGACATGGAGTCATTCTCATGTTGGCTACTTATGTTCAGGGAAATTCATGCCTGGGTTAATAATATGTGTCAGTCTGGCACAATGAGCAGCTGACATGTTCTGGGATTGCCTAAAACAGGCACACATTGTTTCCTGTTGAATCTTTGATACCATAACTTTGCATGGTGGAAAAAAAAAAGGTTTATGTTGGTATAACAATGATAAGGCAAGAGCTCAGAGGGTAGGGGTCATCCTTGATTTCATATGGTGTTCAAGGCCATCTTGATTACATTAAATAGTCTCAAAACATGGTTTAGGACCAAGGCTAGTGTTGGAAGTAGAGAACTGTGTTTTTTCCTTGTGAATGTCTTGCTCCTTGTCAGGGAGCAAATTAACTCCATGGAGTGTTTTGCTTTATGGTAGATATAGAAAGTTCTGGATAGTTATACATACTTCATAACAGAGGCACACTGGTGACAGAGTCTGACTTTTTACTACATTTTTTTTTTGAGAAACGGTTTCTCTGTATTGCTTTGGAGCCTGTCCTGAAACTTGCTCTGTAGACCAGGCTGGCCTCAAACTCACGGAGATCTGCCTGCCACTGCCTCCCGAGTGGTTGGATTAAAGATGTGCCCAGCTGACAGAGTATGTTTTTAGCAACTCATTCTTCAGGCTGGTGTTTGTCCTCTCCTAAGATTTCTCAGGTGACTTGGAGGCAAAAAGGCTAAAGGGAGCAGAAAGAAATGAAGAATGGAGGAGAAAGCAGGATGGCATAGACTAAGAAGACAGTATAAGGAAACTTGGAATTTAAAGGAGGCAGATGCCAGGTGTTGATGGCTCTTGAAACACCACATAGCCTAGAATCAGAGAGGAAATGGAAGAAGACTAACAGATGAGAGGCTACTAAATCCAGAAAAGGAACCCCCGAATCATCTGTGCACCATTCCTACAAGTAGAGTTAACCAATTGGATCAGAGTGAGAATGTTGACCTGGGAAGAGGTGCAGGGTGGGGATTAACTTACATATGCTCTCCTTCTTGCCTCCATTGGTCTAAGTCCTGATCACAGTCACAAGTACCTGTATTTTCTTGCAAAACTTAGCAGATGTCTCTGTATATACTAATAGCATTGCATCTTATGCATAATACTGAGAGGAAAAGAAATAAAATGGTGTGTAATTTTAAGTGCAGAGTATGGTGCCTCACTTATGAAAAATAGGGAGCAAATGTTGCTATTCTTTGAATAATGGGTGATAGGAACAGATTTATAGAGATGGGGAAAAGACCAAATCTTCCTCTCCATGCCATGTTTAGATGCCATGTCTCATGTCCTGCCTTTTCATCCTCTAGGAGCCTCCCTGGACCCAACTTTTCTTTTCCAGTGCATCACAGCCAATATCATATGCTCCATTGTCTTTGGAGAGCGTTTTGACTACAAGGACCAACAGTTCCTGCACATGCTGGACCTGTTCTATCGCACCTTCTCACTCAGTAGTTCATTATCCAGTCAGGTTAGTGGTTGGGGAGAGAAGAGAGTCTAAGACTGAGGAAATAAGATTCTGTCCTGTGGGCAAACAAAGAATAAAAGGAAGACACAGATAACATGGACAGGCAAGAAGATTTACATCAGGAGGGAAAGAGGTGTGGGAAGCAAGGTACAGACAATACAGACAAGCAAGGAGTCTGAGGCCTGGAGAGAGAAGAGCATGGATGTTAACAAGATGGGGAGACCTATATACAAAACTACAGTGCCTTACAGACATGAGAAAATGATGACATGTGGATTGTAGCTGTTGCTAAATGAGTAGAGGAGTTGTCTACAGTGTTTGAATCATTAGGTCAATTCCTTGAACAAAATAATCCAGATTGTGGCTGGTACACATGTCATCTCAATATATGCAAGATAAGAATGCAAGGCCATATTTGGATAAGTATTGAGTTTGAGGACAGTATGAAGGGCAAGAGATCCTGATAGAAAAGAAAAACAATAACAAAATGATGGCTTAGGAAAGAGAGACAGAGAATACAAGATAAATGCTGGAGAAAGATTCAGAGAGAGAGAGAGACTGATAGCATACTGCATGTGTGTATACATGAGTGGTGAAAATAAGGAACAAAAGATGAGAAAAGTGTGAGTAGGCCAGAGTATAGAAGGAGAGAGGGTGGATCCTCATGACATGTGGGATCATAGGAAGACATTCTGGTTCTTGAGACCTGATAGTTCCATGTGACCTCCTAGACCCTTCTTTCATGCAGGTGTTTGAGCTCTTCTCTGGCTTCCTAAAGTACTTTCCTGGTACCCATGTACAAGTTTGTAAGAACCTGCAGGAAATCCTTGACTACATTGGGCACAGTGTGGAGAAGCACAGGTTGAACTTGGACCCCAGCAATCCAAGAGACTTCATCGATACGTACCTTCTACGCATGGAGAAGGTAAGTCCTGCATGAATGAAAGAGGGGATGGGTGGCAGCGAAGACTGAAGATGTGAGCAGAGGAAAAGAGTTCGGGGAGCCTGAGGATTGGTAGGAGAGACAGGAAGCTGAGTGGAGGAGATGCACAAGATTCTTGAGAATGAAGAATAGAGAATGGGCAGTGAAAATGAAATAGGGAGAAAGGAGGCTGTAGAAAAACACAGGGTAAGGGACAAAAAAAAAAAAGAAAACCAGAAAAGGTCACAGACGAAGACAGAGTAGACAAACATGATAAACTACCAAAGAGAAAAGTGCAGAGAAATGACAGAAGACACAGAGACCAAGCAACACTTTCACGGACTGAGAAACGCCATGTTGTTGATATAGTGTGAGACAGAAGACAGTTGCAAGTATTTGTGTTCATCTCTCTGTAAGGCTCCAATCTCTCATGACCCTCCCTCCTCTCTCCTATCTGGAACCAGGAGAAGTCCAACCCAAACACCGAGTTCCATCACCAGAACCTCATGATCTCCGTGCTGTCTCTCTTCTTTGCTGGCACCGAGACCACCAGCACCACGCTCCGCTATGGCTTCCTGCTCATGCTCAAATACCCCCATGTTGCAGGTGTGTCATGGGCAACCAGGAGAGAGATTTTAGCTCCTTTTTGGCTTTGGAGTTTTGTGTGAATTAAAGAGATATGTGACTCTTACATGCGGAACTTCGAAGGCTTTGTTCAACTTCTAAACTATGGCAGTGCTGTGGGCCGTGTCTGAATCAACACCCAGCTAAGCTACATTTTACTTTCTACTAAAGGGTGATATACTCATCAATCCAACTTCCTTTTCCTCTTTATTTACTTCTTTCCTTCTTCCCTTCCTTCTTTCTTTCTCTTTTTCCATCTTTACGTCCTTCTATTCATTCATCTTTCTATCCATGCACCTCTTAATCCATTGACTTGTCGTGTTTGTTAAAGAACTTATATGTCCACCCACCAACCCATTTGTCATCAATCTTGCTTCATTCATTTTTCTATTCATTTAAGCATCTATCTACCCAAATATCTAGTTACTCAACCATCCTTCTATCTATCCACAGATAAACACTTGGTCACACATACACACACACACACACACACACACACACACACACACACACCACACCACACACACACACACCTCACCCGTTCAACCATATTTAAATGTCCATTTGGCTCTTTAATCACCCTAAAAGCTATTTCATTAATTTTTTTCAATTAATCAATTTAGTATTTCCTTTGATCAGTGGAATTTGATAAATTACTTGTCATTGACTCATTCATATCATCATCCCTCCATCTATTATCAGTTTTCCTTTCTTATTACCATCACTAACTGGCCTTTGAATTCACCTTTTTCTTGGTCTATCCATTTCTCCATTTTGATTCATCTGTTGTCATACAAGTTGAATACACAGCCCAGCATTTTGTCTATTCATTCCATTAACTCATGATTCCATCCATTTATTAATTGATTTATTCATTGACTTACTTATGCATTCCTTTTTACAGACATCTGTTGATATACTCATTAGCTAATCTACCAACATCTATTTCTGAAAATAGAGCCCCAAGTTCTTAACATAAAATTCCATGTAAAGCTGTGGCATATGGAAGTGTGTGTGTGTGTGTGTGTGTGTGTGTGTGTGTGTGTGTGTGTTTGCCTTTGCATATACAGGAGTGTGTATATGTGTATGTGTTTAGGTTTGCTTGTGTGTATGTGCTCATGCATATGTGTGTTTATAAAGAGATAGTTCATTCCCTTGCAAAGGTGAGAATTTTTACTGCCTTTCTCCCTTACACCAATATGATTGCTTTGAGGTCTCCTTTGCTGTATGTATTTTTTTGTTAAAACCCTGCTGAAGTCTAGTTGAACCTCAGAGAGGAGATGTTTAATATAGTTTTAAACATGGACACCAAGGGACACTCGCTTAAATTCAGGACAGTTTTATACCCTCAAGTATGCTGAGTTTTTCAGGAGAGTTTCCTTGCGGCACTCTTTCCTGGTTTGTTGCTCATACAATAAAATATCATTGCTATAAATCTGGCAAAGTAGATCCAGTGTTCCCCTTTTTCTGTGCAGAGAAAGTCCAAAAGGAGATCGATCAAGTGATTGGCTCACACCGCCTACCATCCCTTGATGACCGTCCTAAAATGCCATACACTGAGGCCGTCATCCACGAGATTCAGAGATTTTCAGATATTATCCCAATTGGTGTGCCACACAAAGTCACCAAAGACACTGTGTTCCGAGGGTACCTGATCCCCAAGGTGAGACCAGATGCCATCCCACATTTCTATACCATGCATTCTCCTCCATCTTAGTAGCAGCCTGTTGTTGATTTCCCAGCATTTCAGGTATCTTATTGATTGCTTGACTGTCTGCATATATGAGTTAGAGAATGTTAACACATTTGTATCTCATAATGTCTTCTAGAACACTGAAGTGTATCCCATCCTGAGTTCAGCTCTTCATGACCCCCAGTTCTTTGAACAACCAGACACCTTCAATCCTGACCACTTCCTGGATGCCAATGGGGCCCTGAAGAAAAATGAAGGTTTTATGCCCTTCTCTATAGGTGAGACCCTCCTGTGCTTAATTTCCCAGACAATAGAGTGAAGGACACAGACAGGTCTAGGTTCATATTTACTGAGTTTATTCCAGCTGCTTTGCCTGAACCATTCCATTCACTGAGCCTACATTCCCACAAGGGGACTCTTGAACTGAAGGTGTACCTTGGTTGTGAGAACTTTGAGGAAGTATTTAAAATCTCTAAACCTGAGGACATTTGTTTTCTTAAGAAACAGGGGCATGATCAAGTGGCATCATCTATGAACACTGGTATCCACTGGGTAATGTCTTGATGACTGAGGGGACATTGACGTTAGCTGTGAACGACTGGGGAGATGGGGCATGTCTAGACACACTTGACTCTGCTGCTTAATCCTGTTAAATTCTACTATACATCAAAATTACTAGCATTTATTTGAGGCAAGAATCCATTCATAATGGATAATATCCTGAACCTGAGAAAGGTCCAAATTACAGCACCCATCAATGTCAGCATGTGGTGGCTAGTATAAGAGGGATATGAGCATGGACATATAACTTGATTGGTGCCAGCTCTGCTTGAGTAGTTAGAAGTCTGGGATAAATCAACTGGTCTTATTGACAGATATTAGCTCTTCATTGTGAGCGTATATCTCAAGTTAGTGTGTAGTTTTATTGCCTGTTGTGCTTCCGTAGTTTTGATACATGCAAAAGTTGCCTCCAGCCTACTTTAATTCAGTTTAATGGACTCCATGGGGTGTAAGCATGGAAGCTTTTCATTCAGGTTTCATATTTTTTGAGAAATATATTATAGAAACAAACTCTTAACCATTTGTCATCCCCCTGTACCCATGTCCTCATGCTGGTGGTGGAACCCAGGGCAGAGTGTGTGTTAAGCATATTCTCTTTGAAAGAGAATCCGACTTCAGCCTCTCCTTGTTGTATTCTAGAAGATGCTTTCCTGCTGAGCTTCTCTGCTCTCTGCAATCCCCAAAGTGAGGGCAAGTGTTCTCCTGATGAGCAAGGTCTCAACTAAGAATTGTCTCGTCTTGAGTTTCCATGGGACTTCAGTGACACCTGGTTCTGTCCAGCTTAATGGTCTTCTTTCATATTTGATATTCAGAGTTGCAGACATGTAGGGCTTGAGATAAAAGTGAACTGTCAAAACAATAGACCCAAGTTCAGAAAGACATGGATGTGGAGAAAAGGTGCAAATGAAGAAGACATAAAGAAATACATGACTGGCTATAGCTAGACAGAGAATGAGAAGAGGTTAGGGTATTAGCTAGGAAGCTTAGAAAAAGAAAACAGAAAAAAAATGATAAAAAGACAAATAGTGATGATAGGTACAGACACAATTTCAGGTAGACTGGAAGCAAGCAAGGAAAGTGAGCAAACAAGCAATCCTAAAGGATACTAGAACCAATGAGTCATGTTGGTTTTTAAGTCTCCACCTCCAAGCATGGGGACATAATGTTGAGAGTGAGACAGCCATTAAAAGCTTCTCTGGAAAAAAGTCAGGTCACAAAACCAGTTCTAGGAGAACTGTCTCAGAGACATACTCCATAAAATTCTAAATTCTTGTCACCAAATTTCTGGAAATGGATGCCCAAGGAGAAAGTTTGTTTTCCCTATACATTCTTACACACACAGGGTTTTCCAACAACTGTAGGGCACAGGGGTTGCTAGGAAATCCCTCATCCACCTGGAGACAGTTGCAGATTAGTAATCACTGAGGTACAAGGCAGGTGGCCAATTGGAACCTTGCCTGGGCTTTCAGGCTCCCATTGCTCTATGGTGCTTGATGTCTAAGTTGACAAACTCCTTACATCCATCCCTGAGAATCCAGTGAATGCTACAGATCACTCATTGTCCCCTTGCCCATTGTCAGCTGGACATACAATTGTGTTTGGATACAGTGTTGGTGAAGAACAGAGGGAATGAGTGTGGAGAAAGAAGAGACCCCCACATAGAGAACTTCATATGTAGTCCAGGCTGACCTGAACCCAGCAATTCCTTGCCTTAGTCTCCCAAAGGATGCATTTACAGGCATGTGACTACATGTCTGCTCATATAGGACCCATAACATCATCTAGTTGTTAATCTAGAAGTCTTTCTAAACAACACCTTCACTCTCTGAGTAGCCAATGTTAGGTATCACATGAAAAATAAGGGACACTGAAGGTGTTGTATTGTACTGGTATTCAAATATACACTTGGTTCTTAATCTAAGTCAGTTATTACAGATCTGGTACAAAGGTCTGGTAATCTAAAAAAAAATATACAAAAATATCAGAAGTGACCATGAGATAGTCACAAACAAACTGGCATAATGTTATCTTTGTTTGTTTACTTATTTGGTGTGTATGTGGGTGTATGCATAGACATATTTGCTATGGTGTGTGTGTGTGTGTGTGTGTGTGTGTGTGTGTGTGTGTCAGAGGACAGCTTGTGGAATTTGCTTCTCTCCTGTAACATGTGTGTCTAGGAGATTGAACTCATGTCCTCAGGATTTATGACAGTTGACTTTACATACTATGATGTCACACTGGCCCTTGCACCAATTCTTTAAGGTTTGGGGAATTTCTTACTACTCTCCTTTGAATTGCAGATGATGGTCAACATATCCTTATTCATTGCAAACGGCACAGTTGTTTTGGTATAGGGATGATTATATATGCTCTGGGGCTCTCATGGCTCATTCTCTCTGCCCACAGGAAAGCGCATTTGTCTTGGAGAAGGTATTGCCCGCAATGAATTGTTCCTTTTCTTCACCACCATCCTACAGAACTTCTCTGTGTCCAGTCCCCTGGCTCCTAAGGACATTGACCTCAGTCCCAAGGAGAGTGGCTTTGGCAGAGTGCCCCCAGATTACCAGATCCGCTTCTTGGTCCGATAACTAGGCTGAGGTGGTGTTCGCATCAGGGCAACTTCCTCTACCATGTACTCCCAGCATATTCTGTTTTGACATAGACCCCAAAGCAAGAGAATGAAATATAAAATAAAATATCCGGATAAAAACAAATAGATCTCTATTTTTGTTTTTCCTTTCTTTTTTGAGACACGATCTCATATACCCATTGCTATCCTGGAAATCACAGAGATAGACCTGTATCTGCCTCCTATTATATTGCATGTGTCAAGCACTTTGTTTGAGTAACAGATGGATGATTAATATAAAATTCTTGGCCTATGAGAATGTAAAGAGCTTGCTGAACAAGCCGGACCACTCTAGTTCAAACCCCAAAATTCATGCACATATGGAAGACCATGGCCTTTACTTTTAAGATTTTTTATTATTTTTGTTCATGTGTATTTGTGAGTGAAGGTGCCTATGGAGACCAGAAGAGGTTGTTGTATCCCCTGGATCTGGAGTTTTCAGGGGTCATGACATGTCTGATGTGGGTGCTGATAACTAAACTCTCATCTTCTGCAAGAGCGGCAAGTACTCCTAACCACTGAGACATCTCTCTAGATCCTCCATAACCTTCTTGATTACCAACCATTAAGTAGTGCCCATTCATGTGGTTAACATGTTCATACTGTATCCCAGACACTGCATAAAACACTTATAGATTCTGCATTTCTGTACACTGTGGGTTTTATCACATATCTTTAGTACTTGGTACAAAGGATGTCACTTTTGTCACTCAGGATGGAACTGTGTCAACACTTGAGTCACTGCTTCACTGAGTCTCAGTGCTGCTGGGGTATAATTCATATGTTGATTTTAGTCAAAATGCACAGTTACAATTTTCTATATGCTTTTCACTTTCTCACTGCTCCAATCTCTCCCTCCCTTACCTCTGTTCTGTCATATTATAATAAAACACTCCACTTGTATTCTTACACTCACATATCCATACAAAATAATCTCCACTCAATTCTTCAAGGAAGAGCTGTGGAAACCATCAACTTCTCAGGAGTATCAACTTCTTCTTCTTCCTTGCTCAGGAGCCCATAATTTGTGCTGTGACGTCACAGCCTTTTTTTTTCTCTGGATGAGCCTACTTTGGGAGGTCCTCGGATATCTTGATAATGAACTCTTTCTACTCTATGATGGGGACGACATAAAAGCAGAATCCTGGAGACCCAGGGTCAAGCGGCATATGGGGGCTGAGATCTGCACAAAAGAGACTAAGGACCTACAGAAGAAAGAAGTAACTCAGGAAGATGACATCTGAAGTCATGACCCAGAAGGGCCAGGATGGAGAAGAGTAGGCAGAGACAGAAGCACACAATTCAACTCTGGTCCCTGAAGTCAGGATTTTGGTATGGACATCACTAACCTGGTTGACTAAAGCAGTAATGCTTCCCTGAGAGATGTGGGACCAGACTGCTTGGGGGTCACAGGGTGTACCCTGCTTGCCTTAAGATCTGTTGGGAACTAAGTTCCTTAAAAAGTGATGTGACTAGTCTTTGCCTGGTATGGCCAGACATTCACACCTTTCGGGCAACATTGGGCTGTGAAATCAATGAAGGCTTCTGGATCTTGGGCTATGATAAGAATAACTTCTTCATCTTTGACCAGAAGAACCTCATATTGAATAGGTTCACTCCCAGCATGTTCAACCAGGATATTCTGGGAAAGGAACGGTGCCAGGATGGATTGGGTTAAGACTTCTGTATGGCATATAACCTAATCATCCCCAGAGATATTTAACTTTCATGGAGAACCAAATGATGGGTACAGGTAATAACTACTGTCATGTCATCCATTCCCTGAGTCTGATTGTATCTTACAATAGTGCTTGGGAAGTGCTGTGTTCTCATCAAATTATACAACAACAATCACACAGCCTAAGGTGACATTCAGATGTCATGTGAGGAATCTCCTGCTCTACTGGCATGCATCTTAGGTGAGGAAGCATAGGTCTCTCTGACCTGAGTCTACAGCTATAAGTTACCAAATGTCAATAAAGGGAGATTTCTCTCCATCACCCTTACTCTCTGACATGTGCACTTTGAGGAATTGAGACAACTATGTGTGTGGAGTGCTGGGTTCTGTCCCTAAGATGGAGTCATCATGTCTCAGAGGTGAGCTGGGAGACTTCCACGCCTGGACCAGGATCACAGTCTGTTTTGTTTAAGGGGTCAGAGGTCATTCTGTTCTTGTTCTGATCTTGATTTATAGATGTCAAGTTCAATGCTTCTGTTTCAAATAAATCTCTGACAAGAACACAAACATGTAGGAGTGATGCATTCCCTTGTCCTTATAAATAAGCACTAAGACCAGTAATATTAAACAAGGACAAGTGACATAATAAACTAAATTTTCACAAAATAAAAAATCTAAGCATCTATGAGAAGTAATTTTGTTTATGGGTCTTCAAAATGATTTATGTAACATTATGCTATCCACACCAGGACAATAAGTGATACCGTGTGTGCAAAGTTATACAAATACAGAAAAGGGGTACACTATGTTATAATCACTTTCACCTTTGTGCTGTGAGCATACTTTCTGTTTAGAACATAGAGAATATTATTATTGACTCTTTGAGAAATTTTATGTATTTTACTTTCATTGTACTCAACGTCCACTCTGCCTCTAAGAACCACACTCCTTCATAACCACTCAACTTTTTCTCACTACTTTAAATTCATCAGTTCCAAACTGTGGTGCTTTCATACTCTTGAATATGGGACCATCTACTGAAGCATGGTCAACCTATCACACCCTTAAAGAAAACTAACTCCTCCCTGAATTTATCAGTTACCAATAACACGCTCAACTAATGGTAGTACTTCATACTCTCCTCGCTTATACTATTGATCCATGTTGGGATTTTGTCTGGCTTGAACTTGCACAGGTCTGGTGCATACTACCACAACTACTATGCAGTTGACCTGTGTCTGGAAAACATAATTCTGTGCTAGTCATCCATCACCTCTGACTCTGATAATAATATATCTACCCCTCTTCTGAAATAATCTCACAGCTTTGGGAGCAAGGGTGAGTCTTTGATGTCCCATTTAGGGCAAAGCACCCTACAGTGTCTTATTCTCTGTACACTGGCCAATTATCAATATCTATGTTAATCATCACTTACTGCATAATGATAAGGGTTGAGAGATATGTTAATCTTCTTATGGCCATAGTACCTTTAATGTGTCAGATCTTGTAAAATCTTAGAAGCAAAGCAGTACCAGGCATGACGAGTACATAAATGGGAGACATGCATTAATCTATGCTTATAATGACACATCATTGGGAATTAGTTTAGTACTATGTTACTATGTCCATTTATCACAAAAAAATAGCACTATGGTTTTCATAAGAACTATGGCCTGTCTAGCCACAAGTTCATGCTCTTATATCCAATACATATTAAATAAAAAGTATAAAGTATAACTGGGCAGTCATTGTGCATGTATTTAATCCCACCATTTAGGAAGTAGAATCATATGGATCTTTGAGTTCAGGTAAAGGATAGTTGGCAGAGAAAGTTCCACAACAGTCATACCTACACAAAGAAACCCTTTTTGAAACCTCCAAAAAAGTTTAAAGGAAAACAAGAGTATGAGAAGAAAGTTGGGCCTGCATAGATGTGAAGCTGAGGCAAGAAAATAAAAAATAAAAAACCTGGTAGTGCTGACGGGAAGAGGCTTCCCCTAGCCTTGTCCAGCTCCTAGCACTGAGAAAGGAATCCTGAAAGTAATACATTCTCCTGGGTTCTAGGATACAAGATCACAACATAAAAGTATCCATCTCAGGTGAGAATGGCACTTAAACCATGGCAGCTGATGGAACACCCAGCAGTAAAGCCAACTATGCCCTAATATTCCAAAAGATGACCCTGAGCTGAAACAGTCAAAACGGAACTACTAAATAGACAGTATTGTACTGTCAGGGAAGTGCTAGGGATTAAGCTTGTTGTCAAATCTGCAATATACTGTTCACCCAATATCATGATAAAGGACATCTTCAATGAAGATGATGGTTGAAATCTTGCATCTTCATTCTTTTGATAGAAGCGTTTATTGTAGAGGATTTGGAGTCTCGTTTTCTTTTGCTAGATTTGTCTTCTAAGCACCAGACTTTATCCCATATCCATACACATGTGGGAAGCATTAAGTGAACTTACATAATTGGGAAAGAAACATAATGGGATAAGGGAGTATTTCATGATGGAAAAAGGAGATAGCTAATATCTCATTTAATTCTACACTGGTATAAAATTTTCAACCATAATGAAAAGTGGATAAAATTTATCCAACAACATGACCCAAAATCAAAAGGAACATGAAATCCAAGATGACGGCTCCTCTTCAAATCACCTATCACATAGTAGTCACTTCCAATGACAAGGAAATAGACAAACCCCCACACAAAGATGCAAAGGGATGTGGGCATGGTTATAAATGCCTTTAATTCCAGCACAGGGAAGGCAGAAGTAGGCAAATCTATGCAATTTAATGTCCACCTCATCTGTATAGGGAGTTCTAAGACAGCCAGGTGTATAAGGATACCCTGTCTCAAAAAAACAAAACAAAAATCACGCTAAAGAAATGATGGTAAAAATGTTCCAAGAAATTAAGGGGGACACAAAAAATTGACAAAACCAAAATGCCACAAAAAGGTAAATTATTTAAGGAATTCAAAACAGGATAAGACGGTGTAACTCTTAAGCCTAAAATTATGTGGGAGATGTGGAAGCCTCATGGATAAAATGGATCATGCATAGGACAGCATTACCAGGGCTTGAAGGCCAAATAAAAAGGTAGAAACATTCAGTCAAGAACAAATGTTAATTTGCAGGAAGCCATGCAAGGAGCGTTCTTGGATTAACCATACATCTGCACTACAGAATTCAAGAGCCCTGGATATTGATGCAGTGCGGGGGTGTTCCTTCACACTGGGGGACACTGGAACATTATGTAGCCCCAGAGAAATGTCTGTTTCTACCAGTAGGAATTCATGATAGTAAATCTATTTTGTTCCCGAACTTGGTGGGTGTTACCCCATGTGTACCAAACTGGGTTCAGTCACCAATCCTCAATAAGTCAATTAAAAGGCCCAGGGAAACACTGGGAAGAAGAAAGGTATTTATTTAGAATGGCTAATTTCAGGAGGAGGGTAAAGAAGACAAGAAGATTCTGTTTTCAATTCTTAGGAGTCCATTTTTCACTTGACTCAGCTGCTCTTCATCGCTCTGAAGACTGACTTTTAGATTCTGAAGTGTGGTGAACCTTTAAGTAGAAAACAAAGGATGCATACATCTAAGCAGTCCCAATCAAGATACAGATCCACTTATCACTGCCCCATCATTATTTGGGCTTCAGTTTCCTCCCACAAAGTGATTCTATAAAGTAGAGTCCCTTTCTAAAGAGAAAGTCTCCTTTGGCTTGAGCCTCTTCCTTCTCCCAGCATGAGAGATTCCCATTTTGAAATTGAGTCCATTTTTTTAATAATCTGATGGATTGAGAGACACAAATGTCTCTTGAAAATATCTTCCTTTCTGCCAAACCAGCCGTGATAAGCCATATATATATGTATGTATGTATGTATGTATGTATGTATGTATGTATATTAATGCCCAGGATCTAAGACTAGTTCCTCCAAGGAATATTTCTCTAGATCACAGAAAGACCTTATACCAAGCTTTGAGTGCTACAGAGTTCCACATTGATTAAATGCAGAAGCTAAAACCTGGTTTGAAATTGGTGACTCTGTGAACAGACAGAAATGTGTGAGTCCTTTTGTGGACAGTACTGATCAGAGAGTGAGTGTGTGGTTTCTCTGCTATGCAAAATGAGAAACAGTCCCCAATTTGCAGCAGTGTCAAATGTCACAGACTCCACTTACAAGATACCTGTGTTCCAGTGCCTGTGAACAGTGTGGTATAGAGGAACTGGGCCAGCACATGTATTTTCCTCCTTGTCTTTGTTCTCCCAGAATCACAAAGCAAGTTGCATGAAATACTTTCAGATTGAGCAGTCTAACTGCTGAAGCTTTGGAGTGTGTCACTGTGTCGCAGGAGCCACCTTGTGCCAATGTGACAACATGAGATGTAGATACATTTGGTGAAGCCATGAGCCCAGTGGACAGCATTGACTGTGTCACCTTTCCTTGGAAAGGTTCACAGAACAGAGGAGGATCATGAGCTACACAGAGAGGAGGGTGCCATCAAGAAGCAAGACTTTTGGGATGGCAGCCCTGTTCCTCTACCTCTAGCCCCTATGGAGTCAAGATGGAGTTCCACGATGTGTGTTCTTCCTGTCTGTTAGCTTATTCCTCATATCAGCACTGCATAAGTCAAGAGCCCTTTGCAGGGACACAAGAGGGACTCTTTCACAGTGTGTGTGGGGAGGGGTTGCATATTATGGAGCCTCAGATGAGTGGCTGTTTCACTAGTTTCTGTGCCCTTCACTGTGGCTTGCAAGGGTGGGCTCATGGCCAGGTTTGGTTAGAAAGGACGAGAAAATGTAGCCATCCATTTGGGAAAGATAAGGGAGCAATGATCTGGCCAGGATAAAAACAGAATGCAGAAATGGGCATGATAGTGACAGTGTTGGTAAAACGTCTTCCAAAACTCCAAGGAATTCTAAATGACTGCTTGAGGAGTATTACTGTGATAATGCATGCACATGCCAGCATCTGTATGCTCCTCCTATGCTTCTCCTTCTCAAGTACTTTAGGAGGAAGGATAAGAGATGGAACAAGGGTCTCAACATCAAGATGGATAGTCAAAGCCAGCTATAGTAGGACTTTACATGTAGCTTCTAATCTCACAAACCTATCCATCCTTCCCCAGATTTTATCATAAATGCATCCATTCATAAATCCATCTACCCGCCCATTCATTTGTTGATTCATTATTCATTCGCTTCTTCATTAGTTACAAAAATATTAAGAATGAGCTATACTCTAGACCCTGTGGCTTGCAGGATATTGATGAGAAACAGGGCAAATCCTTGTCCTTGCCAACCAGGAAGAGTGAACCCACTACACTAAGAAATCTATGATCAGAAGTCCTGAGTTTGGGTGTATTGAAAGTGGGCTTGGAGAGTCCAGAATTCAGTTGAAGCTTCGTTACAGAGTAAAAATGTTTTGTTCATTTGATTCTGTTGCCTGGACCAGACTCTCTCTGTGATCTGCTGATTCTAAACTAAAGGTTTCACTCTGCTAGGCCCCACAGACACCTGATGAGTCCTCCTCTGGTGAAGAAGTTGGGGCTGTGACACAGATATCTTGTGTTTCTTATCTGATACCCATGGACAGTGTAACCTTCGTTCAACTGGTGCCTTTGCTATCTCTCTGTTTACCTACAATAGAATACATGGTAAATTATCATTGCCCTATCTGTAAGGAAAATTTAAATATTAACAAGGACCACAACTTGGGACTGAGGAGCTATTAAAATCAGTGGTGCCTGATATTGTTTGCCTGAAGAAGGACTTCTGAGAACAAGGATTTGCCAAGTTTATCTGTGTCCAACATTCCTCCCCTTGGGGACCCTGACCTGCCTGTGAAGTCATAAGCCCAACGGGACTGTTGGCTGGGGAGCCTGGAACCTGTCCAACTATGCTGTCTACATTGAGTGTCAGGAAAAGGAAATGCCCAGGTTACCTAGTCTAATCATGGCTGCCATGACAGCTACTGGCTCATTCCACGTGCTCTAAGACTTGGACAAATAGTAAAGCATTACTTCCAGTCAGCTCCAGTAGGTGGTCAAATTTAAGAAATATCGCAGAGCTCCCTGGGTTTGCCTGGAGTCCCCTCTGGAGACAGGGCTCCTTGGTGCTCACCACTCTGCCAGTATCCCACATTCTCCTTACCTTCTTTCTGCTTCGGTCCCATGACATCTTTCTTAGGGTCATGATCATGGTGAAAGCCCAGAGTCTGAGCTGTGGGTGACATATTTGGGCTTAGTTGCCATCCTTCTCCCTGCAGGTTAGAGTCAGGTGAAGGCTTCTGATCTAATGCTGTTTGTCTCCCCCCATGTGTGTCCTGGCCTAAATGCCCAAATCCAAATGAGAGGACACAGTGCAGAGAGGACATAGGCACAACCCATTATCCTCCATCCTGTGTGTATAGAGCAGAGCAAACATTTCTATCACCCAGGAGTCACAAAGATACACTTACTGTTTACTTGGAGGTGCACAATGGCCCACTCTGATCTCAAATCTGCAGATATGGTCCGTAAGGTGTAAATTCCATTGTCTTTCTGGGTGACATTCTGGAGTAGCAAGGATCCATTGGTATATATTGTTGCTCTATCATAATATTTGTATGCCAGCATGCTTGAATTAATCAGGATTGCATGACTTGCTACCTTTAAGTGGTCAAGTGGAAGTACCCCTTTGTGCCAAGCAAAGCCTTGAAGCTTCTCTGGCAGATTACGAACTAGTAAAAGTACATTGTCTTCCTCAGTAACCATGGGTGGCACCAACTCAATTGTGAGTTGTGATGGGGTAGTATGTTTCTTGAAGCCTAAAATTGGGCCTAGAAGGAAATAGAAATAAACCTATCAATAATGAACATTCTGCATTTGGTGGAAAGATGGGTTTGTGAGTCGTGAGTAGGTATGTTCATCATTTAGACTTGGTGTTTGGTTGAGGGCGTGCCTATCCTACTAGGTAGAGGTCAGACACAAGACCTCTGTACCCTCAGTGCCATTGAATATGTCATTTCCTTTCCATGGAACTTCCCTCTCATTTGTCCACATGACTCACCCTTCACGGCCCTCAGATCCCTGTTCACAATCAGAGCACAAGAAGGAATGCGTCTCTACTGGTCTCTTCCTTTACAGAACCTGGGTCTTCACACTCTTATTTATTTTACAACAGTCTCTTTGTGTTACCTTCTTGGTGCTCTTGGCATGTGTCTTGTAAACCACTACTAGAACTTTGTTGCCAGGGACCAGTTTGATCTTTTTGGCAAGTACGGTGCCTTTAAATGACTAAATGGGTGAGTGAGTGAGTGAGTGCACACTTCATTTCACTTTACCTCCGTGTATCAATTTAGCAAATTGTCAGATTCCAAGCTAATCACTGTATTTTATAACCTAGTTTAATTTTATGTTTATTTACTCTTTGTCCGGGGGGGGGGGGCACATGTGCACACCTATGATGTATGAGTGTGTGCAGAAGTGGACGCATGCCACAGTACCTGTGTGCAGGGCAGAGGACAGCTTGTGTTGTTCTGTTCTTTCCTTCCACTTTGTGGGATATGAGGACTGAACTTAGGCCATTAGGGCAGACAGCAAGAGCCCGTTTCTACTGGATCACCCAATGGCCCCACTGAAGTTCGCTTTTTCTTTTGAATAGTCATCTTGTCACAAATGAGAAATAAGTCTTCATAATATAGTTGCCGAGGTGATTAACTTAATTAAAGACCAATCAGATTTTCCTCCCTCTACCTTACTGGTTCCTGTCCATCAAGAACTTCACTCTGCTGAACTTCTCTTTCCCTTGCTGTATCTTCTTCTCCACAGTAGAAAAGGGAAACCCAGAGTCTCCTCTCAGGGTCTTACCCTCTTCAGGAGACGCTAGGCCACCTCTGAGTGAACCTTCTCCCACACAGAGTGTGGAGTGGCCTGTGGACCGGCACTTTGTATGCCATTTGCAAGGAGATACGGGGGATGGCTTCGTCGCCTCTGCTGTCTGCTCTGTTCTCCCTCACTGGAGATCATATTAGCTTCCCATAAGCCCTGCTGCCATTCCTCACTTTTATCTGAGTCTAGGAGAGCGGCCTGGATCCAGGGCCACAGGAGAGCCCGTGGTTTCCCCATCTTTTCCTAAACCCATATCAATGTTCATGGGGATCACTCCAAAAGTCTGTGCTGAGGCTGACATTTTTGACTGAGTTACCCAGCACAAGTCCTTTCTGGAGTCAGGTGAGGGATTCTGATCTATGGCAGTTTGTCTCCAAGATGCATGTCCTGAAATAAATCCTCCAACCACAACGTAAGGACACACTGTCTAAGAGAAGTACATCCAGTTCAGGCTTCACAGTCCTGTGAACGTACAATGAAATGAACCTAACCAGCACCAGAAACTACAAAGAATGACTTACTGTGTACAAAAAATTCCACACGTGTTACTTCAGATCTCAAATTTGTATCAAGTGTTTGTAGGCTGTAGTATCCTGAGTCTTTCCTGGTGACATTACTGATCAGCAGAGATCCATTATTGAATGCTGTCTCTCTACCACTGTGCGCAGGCCCCAGCACGCATAATTTGGTAGCTACCACATATCTTGCAATTTCACGGCTCTTGAGTACCATAATTCCTGTGTACCAGGAAAAGGCTTGAACATTCTCAGGCAGATTATGTACAAATAATAGAACGTTATCCCCTTCAGCAGAAATTGGTGGCACTGATTCAATGGTGAGCTGGGCAATAGTAGAAAGCAGCCAAACAATTAAAATGGAAGCTAGAACGGAAGAGAGAAATCCATGAACATTTGGACCTCTGTATTTTAAGAACAGATGGAGCCTGTTTCCTGAACAGACATGCTTATCACTCAGCCTAGCCAGGTGGGTGAGAGTGGGGCCACCATATTTGGAAGGACTGAGCCACATGACCTCTCTCTCAGTGGCCCTGAACATGTTGTTTTCTCTATATGGAACTTTCCCCTCAAGTATGTACAGGGCTCTCCTCAGATTTCTGCTTGTATTCGGGGTATATGGGCCGAGGACATGTCTTCCCCCCTCCTCTGTCTGGAGACTCTGGGCCCTCACTTTCTTTTTCTTTGCTCGGTTCTTTCATTGGCCCCAGTTCTCTGACTGTTGTTGTGGAATAATATTTTTGGACACTGTGAAGCTGAATCAGTAGTCTAGCTAGGCAGAGAGGACACTGGGAAGAAGGAAGGTGGAGATGTGGAGAGCTGCCAGCCAGCGATGGAGGAAGCAGGAAAGCAGCATGGGAAGTATAAAGTAAAGGCGATCAATCTATGAGGCAGAAAATAAATTAAGTGAGTTAATTTAAGTTATAAGAGCTAGTTAGAAGTGAGCCTAAGCTATCAGCCTAGATTTACAATCAATAATAATTCTCCCTGTCATTTATTTAGGAGCTGGCTGCTGGGACAGAAACATCAACCTACAAACTACCCTGGAGACTCTTGCAGGTCTGTCTTCCAGCCCACTAGACCAGGGCTTTATGAGAACTAAGACGAGTCAGACATGTTTGGAGGGCACAATGCCTGATAAACCTTGGATACCTTTGGGTGAGTTCTTGAATGCGTATCACGGGATATTTCTATCCAGGAGTGTATTTCTAAAACTCTCATACCTAGAGCTAATGATGCCTTTAATGGAAGAGTTTTAATTTTTCTTTATTTGTATACTTTGTGTATACTCTGTGTATGCCGGGGGTGAATGTAGGTGTGCGCACTTGAGTGCCTCTGCATACGGGGGAATGCATGCACACCATGTACACAGAGGTAAGACACCTTGTGGGTGTTGGAGATTAAACTGAGGTCCTAGGCTTGGCATCCAGCACCATTACCATTGAGTCTTCTTAATGGTTCTCCCTAGTTTGATTTTTAGTTAGATAGTCACCCTATCATGGTTGGGGGCATCAGTTCCCAAGATATAGTGGTCAATGTGATTAAATCACAGTAAAGAACAACGGGGATTTTCATTAATTTTACTATCTAATATAATTAAGTACTTTTTGCTGCTAAATGCCTATGCCTGTCTCTGTTCTCTCATGTCAAACTGAAAACAGAAACCCCTTGAGCCCCTCCTCAGGATACTGTCTTCTTCAGGAAGGCTCCGAGCAGCCTCTCCTCCCACACATTCAGCAATGAGCTCCTCACCTGTGAGCAGAAACCCCTTCCAGAAGGAGTAAGCTATACAGGGAAGTACAGAGGGTCCCATCAGGGCTCCTTTCTCGTGCTCTGTGCTCCTGCTGTGGAGAAGAACTTCAGCTCCAGCACTGCTCCCACGCTCTAGTGTCTTGGCATCAGCTTTACTGTCCTTCATCCCTTTTATCTGAGACTTCTCACAGGCAGGGACACCTCCTGGAATCACATGGGCTGTGGACATTGTCTATGTACAAAATACAACAGTTTCTTTCTCTCTTTCTTCTGTCCTCTATTTTCCTCCCCTTTCCTCTCTTTATGTCTCAGTCCTGCAGATTGCACAGTGAGCAATAAAGCTGACAAGTCTCTTCATTCCCTAACACAGCAACACTCTATAAATGACCTCTGTTGTGTCCTTGGCCTTGGGTCTGTAAGCACCAAAGAGTGAGGACCCCCTCCAGTCCTTTCTATTTGTCCCTTTTGACCTAGAAATCCAGCTAAGTTCCTAGTGTTCTTTGTGGGCTCTGCAGAGGCAGGATCTACCTTCCAGCAGGAATATGACAGAGATTTCTATAAGGGTTACAAAGGTACCTGCTCACTGACACCTGTGAAAGGGAACTCAACCACCACCACTCATTTTACCAGTCAAGGCCAGATGACCAGGAGTTTGATGTTCCGGATGTGTGGGAGTAGGTCAGCTCTGTGTCAGGGGTAAGAGGACTGTGAGCTTCATTATCGTAGGAAGCTTCCTACTTTGGTTAATCTATACTTCAGATCTGCCCCCATTCTCTCTGGTTCCTCTGAAGTGCCTGCATTCTTCCTGGGTGATTACACTCGGAACTCTGTCTTTACCCCATGAGAAATGACATGGCACAGGGATTATGCAGGGTCTCCTTGCAGAGCAATATGCTCAGAGACACAATAAGTAGGCAGCAGGCCAAATAATGCTTATAAAAGCAACTTCTGGAACTTTGGGATGGGGATGAAAACCTAGTTGCAGATGAAGTCTGTGTCTCATGGAAATAATTTCCTGAGTGTTTATTAGGTTTCTAGATCTCACACCTTGGAGAGCATTAGGTTACCCAAAAGTGCATGTCTGGGGCTACAGTATGAATGGGGACCAGGCTCAAATGTTGTGAGCTGACCTGATAATAGCACAGGTTCATTGGGGATGCAACCATGTTGTTCACTGTGGCTCTCTAGACATACTGAATCCACCCAGTTGATAGTGAGTCTAGGAGGAGTTGGATATTTTTCCTGGAACACAGTCTATAGGCAGAAGTTGAATTCACATAGGGTATACACACCCATAGACAGAGCCATGTACATCTAAATTTTGGGAGGAAATCCTGATACTTTCTCTGGAAATCTAAGGGACAGCATGCCTACATAGAGGCCACTCCTGCTGTTGGTAGATCCATCTTTTGTGCCTACATCCTTGGATCACTTTCCCCATATGGTGCTGTGGGATTTGCACATAAAGATAGAAAACCACACGGGATCCAAATGAATATTCTTTGTACACTTCCTAGAAAATTCTTTGTTCTATCTTTACTTCTACACTTGTAAATAAATGTCCTGACCAAAAGCAGCTTGGTGGAGTAAAGAATTTAACTCAGGTCATGCCCATCAATTAGGAAAGTTAAGGTAGACACTCAGGATAGAAACCTGGAGGCAGTAACTGAGGAGAGCTGCTTGCAGTATCACTTGTTCCCCCCCCCTCTCTCTCTCACACACACACACCCACACCCACACCCACACATCAATCTACAGGCTACCCTAGACTCTCTTGCATGTCTTTCTTTCAGCCCACTAGACCAGAGCTTTATGAGAACTAAGACGAGACGAGTCAGACGTGTCTGGAGGGCACAATGCCTGATAAAACCTTGGATACCTTTGGATGAATGCGTGAATGAGTGTCACAGGATCTTTCTACCCAGGAGTGTATTTCTAAAACTCTCCTATCTAGAGCTAATGATGCCTTTAATGAAAGAGTTTTAATTTTTCATTATTTGTATACTTCGTGTATACTCTGTGTCTGTTGGGGGTGGATGTAGGCGTGTGCACTTGAGTGCCTCTGCATACGGGAGAATGCATGCACACCATGTACACAGAGGTAAGACACCCTGTGGGTGTGTATGGGGAGGCTGTATTAAGACAGAGTGGCCTGGAAAAGAGGCAATTGAGTCTCTTTTACCCTATGTCTGTGACTTTAGGCTATGTCAGTTTGACAGTAAATGCTGACTAAGAAAGGGCACTCCCTGTGCTCCAAGGGTGTGACCATCACAGCTGTTGGTGATCATCACATGTGCTCATGTCCACAGCCCCACGAAGCTGGATCTTCAACACTAGGACAAAGCTGGAGGCAGCCTACCCTTTCCTACTTCTCTAAGCCTCAACCAAGGGACTATTTGGTGTTAATCAGAGATATTTCACCTCCACGAGGAACAGTGAAATCGGTAACATGTTCTATTCTGACTGAGTATAGGCCTTCCAGGCACCTTCACTTTCCCTTTCAACCATAGTGGCATCAGAGATGAGTCAGCCACCACATGAGACAGGAACAGGCTTGGCAGCAGAGCTCTGAGTTGCTTTATGTACGCCATCTATGGTACATTTTCACACATCATTTGCTATAATTGATCTGAGCATGTTTCAAGTTCCTGGGAATTCTTTCAAGGTTGTGGATGTCATAAAAAGAAAACAAGAGGACATGAACGCATGCCTTAGGGACAGAAAGGAATCTACTGGACCTCAATGTTTCTACTTCTCCCTGGGATGCCCACTCACTGGGATTTTTCAGATCTCCACGTATAACAGGGAGAAATCAGAGAGGCAGAAAGAGATGACTTGGGGCCAGAACTATAGGTCATGAAAGCACTGAGATGTGTTTGATTTCACCTAGCTAGAAATCACCTCCTGTGCCTTTCCAGACAACTAAAAGCCTCAACCCCAAAGCTTAGTGTAGATCAACTCAGCAAAGAATGAAGTTTTCCAAACTGTGGCCCTATTGATGCCAGTGGCAGTTCTATGGAGTATGCATCCTGTAAGACCTCTGGTCTTTGAAATGCTTCTTTTTTCCAGTGTTGGTCTCCGTAACCTTTACCGCCAATCCAAGTATTTGGGAACCAACCAGAAGATAACTCCCAGACAGATGCAGGAGGACCCAGGTGCTCAGAGATGGTGAGCCTGTCTGGCAGTAACAGTCTCTGTCACGTTTGAACTGCGTTTTAGAACTTCATGGTGCAGAACTAGAAGATGGAATAAGAGCCTCATTGTGTCTTCTGGTCCTCACTGACCTGCTGCCTTCCTGGTAGCACAGAATATTGTCTACCTCCAGCTGAACTGATCTCCACTACTCTGTTTGGGCCAGTGACCTCCAAGGTTTGATCTTGAATGCTGACCTACGGCTAGGGTATAATAATAGTTCCCCTTTGTGCTTCCCTGAAAAGCTTTTACCCACCCTGTCCTCAGAACAAGATGGGTAAACATATATCTCACACCTGAGATCAGAGTCAACCCTGGAATTACGCTAACTACCTAGACTAGATCACAAGGTAAGCCAATCTCCCCAGATATTTGATGGTTACTGCCATGAGGTACAGAGCCCCAAAATGCAAAGTATGGTTTTCAGAGGGTTAGTCTCAAAATAATCTCGAAGAGTGAAGGATAGGGGGGATAGGTGAGCTTAAAACAGAACCATTACCTTGTCACTGGTCTATGTTGTTCTCACAGAGTTAAGGACTAAGCAAATATATTTTCTTCTACACAGGTGGCTATTTCCTTTCTTTTAATTTTTATGTGTTAGTTATTTTAGCTTTATGTATATCTATGGGCCACAAGTATTCTTGATGCCCACAGAAGTGATAATCATATGTATAGCTTTCAAATGGGGTTACAAATGCCTGTTAGCCTTCATGTGTGTGCTAGAAACCTAACTTTGGTCTTATACAAGAGCATCCAGTGCCCAGTGCTGTTAACCATGGAGCAGTCTCTACTACTCAGGTCCAGTGGATTTTTCAGGGACAGATCTGACTTATAGATAGAGAAGATAGGTAGAGAAGAAGAATTCGTGGAAATTTCAGCTAATGAGGCCAGGGTTGTTTGGCAGATCTGGGTTAGGGATTTGAGATAATTTCTCTGTATGAAACTATTGTTGCTAATACCCAGTATCTAAGGCAAATCCATGTAATGAATATTTCTTTATGGAGCACAATGAGGTATGATGAAAGACAGATTCTAAAGTTGTGTGGAGTCAGTGACTTCAAGAGCAGAGGGAGCCCTGTGTTAGATGTATGATCTATTGGTAGGGACAAAGTTCTGTCCTTCACCTTCCAGGAAAAGTGACAGTGGTACAAGAGAAATTACATGATTTCTTGTCCAGTAAACGGACTGTAGAGTCCTGGAATTCTGCAGAAATTCTTCAAAGGCAGTTGTCTTACTTAAACATTCAAAGCTAAATGTCAAATTTTTTCGATTCCTAGAACAGATGTCCCCTCAGCTGCAGATGGCCAAGATTAAAATCTCTGAAAAACAGCTCCTCCCTGTCTCACAGACATCTGAAAAATCCCTCAGGGTGGAGACACTGGATACATGACTAGAAACAGATAGTTTGTGGCTCACATCTGCCATGCATGGCCTAAACAGACAGCACCCTGTGTTAGATTCAGGATCCATAGGAAGAGACAAAGCAAAGCTCTCTCCTAAATGTTTCAGGACCTGAGACAGATGAACACAAGAAAACAAGATTTCAAGTCTAGTGGCTGGGTTGGGGAGTCCGAGAATTCAGCAAGAAGTTTCCAGAGCCAGGAGTTTTTCTGTATCATAGTTTCTAAAACATAGGACAGGACACGTGGTTAATTAATTTTGAACTGTCTATAATGTGGCCTTAAATTTGAAAGGGTACCTGATACCAGGACAGGGCAGCTATGTCTGTTACTATTTGTCTGAGGGAGACATATCTCTAGACTATTTAATCCCTGAGGACACTGAGGTGTCAGGGGGACTCAGAGTCTCTATTTTTCCCTTGGGGAACCTGACTTTCCTGTGAAGTATCATAAGCCCATCGGTACAGTTGACTAATGACATAGGAACCTGTGCAGCTATGCAAATCATGCTGAGACTTATAATAAGGAGATTCCCATGTGACCTAGCCTAACTGTGACTCTCGGGACAGTGTACTGACAGATTCCATACGCTAAGAGATTCAGACCACTGAAATCGTTTTTCTCTGTTATCTCTAACAGGTCAGATTCCAACTCTGCCTGCACTTCACCGAGTCACTGGGAGTCCGGGACCTGGGACATTGATCTGGATCCAGGACTTCCTGGCTGTTCCCCTCTCTAATAAGATTACATAGTCTGCTCAGCCATAACCTGATCCAGTACTAAAGAACTTTCTTAGGGCTACACTTATGGTGAGGTCCAGACACATAGTATGGCCTTATTCTGATTCTTTGCCTGAGTTACCCTATCACACATTCTCCTTTCAGAACAGTGAATTGAGATAAAACATACTAATAGTATGGTTTGTCTACACTGGTTGTGGAGCACAAAACACTGACAAGGACTAGACAAAGGCCAGGCATGTTCATCTTTGTGCAAAGGAAAAACAACCCACCTAGCACTTAGATGTCAAAAGGAAGCATGGGCATAAATGAGCACTAACCAATGGGGTGATACATGTGATTTCCAGGATTTTACAGTAAAAATTACCATGTAAAATGATTGGTATTCTGAGACATTACATACCATTGGTATACATGGTCCCTCTGCTAATGTATGTAGGCCCAAACACCCTTTGATTGCTGGCTATTATAAAATGCATGAATCCATGGCTGTCAGTCACAGGTAGTCCTTTGTACCAGTAAAAGTTTTAGACATTCTCTGGAACATTAAGAACAAGTAGAACACTGCTTTGTGTAACAGTGATTCAATAGTGAGCTGAGCAGTATGGGGAAGGTACCATTGTAAGTGAGACTAGGAGATGGCTTAGAGGTCAAGAGAACTCACTGCTCTCTCAAATGGTGCTGGTTCAATTTTCCAGCACTCACAGGGCAGCTCACCACTACCTGTAATTCCAGTTCCAGGGAGTCTGAACATTCTTCCAGGCATTACAGACACTACATGCAGGTAATACCAAAGGACTCATGCAGGCAAAAGTCCTATATGCACCAATAAACCCTTAAACAATTCTTAAAAAAATAGAAACTGAGCTGGAAGAAAGAGATGGGAATCATGGGACCTTTGCCTTTGGTAGAATGCTGAGACCTTAGTAGACGTGTTTATATGTCTGCTTCCATGTGTTCATCTACAGAACTTGATGGACAGAAGCTGTGTGGCATGACCTCCCCTTTTAATCAGTGCTCGGCAACAAATCATTCACCCTGTATGGAAGCCTCTTCTCAGATTTCTAAATGAATCACCCCCCAGATTATTCAGATCTGTGCTCACACTCAAAAGCACATGAGGTGTGAGGAATGTGTTCCCCTACTGCTTCCTCTAGAGTCCCTGGGCCATCTCTCTCTCATTTTATTTTATGGGATTTTATGTTTGCATGTGCTTCTATGTCATGTGTGTGCAGGAGCTCCAGAGGACTGTGTGGACCCCTCAGGCTGGAGATAGGTGAAGTTGTAAAGGCTCCAAAGATGATTGCTGTGAAATGAGCTCATGTCCTCTGGGAAAGAAGCAAGTGTTCTTAACCACTGAGTCATCTCTCTCCAGACCTCCTTTTTCATTCTCTTGTTCTGTTGTATTTATTGGTAGTTCAAATCAACCATTGACTTTACCTCCTAGATTCCTGTCTGCCTTCCAATGCATTGCAACTAACAGAATTCTGCCTGCTCTTATGGAAATTTTCAGTGCCTGCAAAAGGCTGAGACACAAGTGGATCTATTGAATAGATGAATTGATGAGTTTACTTCCTTTACAGAGTCTCTTAATGCTAGTTAACAAAAGATGGGAAAACCTTAGCAACACCATTAACACCAGTGATAAGACAGGGCTTCCCATTAAACCTATGCATTACAGTGTAGTTCTGGAAGCATCAAATGGGCATGTGTTGGAGCCATGCAGCCTAGTTTCAGAACAGCGTAGGAGTGCTTGTCCAAAGGGTCTCCAGACGAAGCAAAAGTTCATGGGGACAGGTGCATTTGGCAAGGACCAGTGAACTCTGGGACAGAGCAGAATGCTGCTGGGACTGTGCAGCTCACATGTTCTATTTTCTCTTGTAATATCTATTCTCTTGGTGGCTTTAGTGTCACATTTTTTTCAATCATTCTGGAACATATGTGATCATTCATGGAAATGCCATTTTTCTCAAATATTATTCCCTAAAATAATTTGGGAGCTGTTGCTTCTCAGGTTTCTTATCTTGGGATACCAGCTGTCACTTAAGACCACAGAACTGTCCCAATTCAGTACTGACAGAATCAGAGACAGATGACCTCTTTTTCTGTAAATATGTTTTAAATGGTATTGTTCTGTAAAATATGTGTGTTTATCACTTTTAATTATGTAAAGACAAGTTGTACTTGCCTCAGTATTTGGCCAAGCTAGCAAAATGATGAGTGTTGTTTTGTGTTCAAAGATGTTTTGATGTGAAAGTTGGGAAAAACATATTTAACATATTTTATTTTATGAGATATTAATATTGAAGGATGAGAAAAAACTTGTTTGTTAGTATGGGGAAAATATTCTTGTTTTTGATGTATAAAAAAGATAGCTAGAGCAATTCAGAGATGGACACATGTGTGAAATTCATGTGGAAGTTGAACAATTCATTTCATTGTGCCAACATGCCCTGCCCTATTTCAGGACCCGAACCCAGGCTGTGGCTAAATCACAGCAGGTATGTCTATAGGTATGTATATAGGACACTTCACTGGTTATTGACAGATGTGTGAGGGCCCAGCACACTGTTGGTGGTGCCATTTCTAGGGAGGTAGTCCTGGGCTTTACAAAGAAATAGCAAACAAGAAAATCATGGGGAGCAAACAAGAAGCATTGATCCTCTACGGTCTGTGCTCTTTAGGTTAGATAGGTAATGATACAAATAAGTAACAATAGGAGATAACCATTGAACCAAAAGTTTGTTTTTCTAAATTGTTAATAGTATCAACAACCTTAGATTAGCTTTGTTTTTAAAATGTTAACATTAACGCTAAAAGTGAAATTTGAGACCATACAGCCTATTCTTAAGAATACTGAGACCCATGAGTAGTCAATAGTTTTGCTAATTGTTGAGTTATGTAGACTAAGCAGGTAAATTCCTAGAGGCCCAGAACCCACAGAGAGAGACAGAAGAAGGAAGAATAACAAAACTGATTCAATGTGTAAATCATAAGACTAAATCAATAATGACATTTGACTAACTTTAACATTTTTAATGATTAAAATAGCCAAACTCGGGGTAGAAGACAGGTTGCTTGTGGTGTGGGGACATATGGACACCATAGTCAATTCTTCTCAGTGGGGACGCTGAGGCTAGGGTCAACACAAGAATTCTACTGTCACCCCTTCTCTTCAGTATTCGCTTTGGAGCCTCAGATAGAACAATTGGGCAAAACAAAGAACTGAATGGTAACCACTCAATCCACCGTAAAATACATCTGCAGATGACGCGAAGTTATTTAAAGAAAATAATAAAGATTTCACAGAACTTTCCATAGTTAGTGACCAAACACGCCCAGCTGACCTGTACTTCCATACACTAATATTTTTACCACGTTAAATGGGGTACACAGGACTAGAGAGGATAGTATATATTTAGAGGTGCTTTGGAAATGGACAGTGGTAATGGTCACTCTTCCTCAGTTCACATGGATGACTGGTATCTAGTACACATTGCTATTGGGTGAAACTATTAGAGTAAATGAGAGGATGCCTATCTCTACGCAAACACTGCACCATTTTAACAGGATACCCCGTGCATCCAGAAGTTTGGGATGCCTGAAATTAGTTCCCATCAGTTCTGAGCATTGGATGGATATATATATATATATATATATATATATATATATATATATATATATATATTTGCAATTATGTTAGCTATATTGACATCTTAATTCACTTAGAAAACCGAGTCTCACTTTAAATCCTGGCCTGCCCAAGAATATAGGCATGAATCATCATACTGTTCATTCCTGAGTGGTAGCTGACAAATTTTACGATTTAAAATTTCTCCATTTTGTACCTTGTTGATAAGGAAATTCCCCTACCCAGCTATAGTATGAGAAAAGTCATTATTTCATTACAGCCAGCCTGACTGGAAGACTGGTCTTTGAACTGACAAGGTTGGAGACCTCACACTGATACTCTCCAGCATTCTCTTTCCTGACAGGATCTATGGTGAGCTGGCACTTTGTTGGGGACAGAGTCATCCTCTCTGTGAGCTGGAGACTCTGGTTATTGAAGATCCAATGGATGGAGATTCCAATGTCAGCAGAGAAGCAAGTGAGGACCACGGAGCTTTGTGTTGTGACTGTCGTGTCAGAGACTCGAATGAAGGGCTGTGTTACAGGCTCTGGGAAGAAAGAGAGAGGACCAAAGGACAGTGGTCATTCAGTGAGCTCAGCCAGCTCCTCTATACTTCACAATTAATAAATCTTCCTGTAGGGAGAAGGTAGACCTGAGACTATCCATATATCTTGTACTTTGACCCTGATTCACACACTGAGTTTGCTGTGTCTCAGTTTCCCTATAATACCTATAATAAAACACACTGTAAATGACCACTGCTTCTGTGAGTTAAGCTTAGTTAGGAAAAGTAACCTAACCATAGGATAGGAAAGCTGTTCAAATCAACAGCATCTGTCACTGTTTACCCAATGAAGAGAATTCCCTCGTCTTGATCCCTCAGAACAAGGAAGAGTATGGTGATGGGAGATGTCTTTCTGTAAATATGTTTCTCACATTGGTTAATGAATAAAGCTGGTGGCCTGTTTTTAATGGGTTTTTTTTATCAGCTAGCTCTGTCTTAAATATTAACCCATTTCTATTAATCTAAGTACTTCCACGTGGTCTTATCTTACTGGAGAGAGGGGATGGTGCTCTTCTCTCTCCATCCTCCATCTTTATCTCCTCTCTACTACTTCCTCTCTCCTCCTTGTCTCCTAGTCCTGCCTATCTTGCTTTCCTATTCACCAACAGTGCTTTATTCATTAACCAATGCAAGAAACATATTTACAGAATGACATCTCCCATAATCTTCTCTTTTCTAAAAAATAAATCATAACAGTATGGAATTACTGTTTCCTGTTTCTACTTTTTGGGATATTGATGCGAAGTCTCATACATGCACCAGAATAATTGTCTAAGGGTTCTGGAAATTGAACATTTGGATTCAGAAGAAGGAAATGCCCATTTGACCTACCTAACTTCAGCTACCATGTCAGTGCACAGGGGGCTTCACACTCTGTGGGATTTGGACTGTCAGTAAAGACTTGTTCCCAATCAGAAGCAACAGAAACTAAGGCCAAATACTGACAAAAACTTCCCAGTGTCATCTGGCGAAAAACAGGGACAAAGTTTTGGAACTAGGACTTCCTGGTATTGTCTATAAGGACCACATGACTTCCTCATCCAGTGCCTACCTGAATCCCACAAAGTCTCTATTAAGGCCCTAAGCATGGGGAGAGCTCCAAGTGTCTTTACTCAGGCTGAAATTCTTGTGCTGAGTTTTCCAGTATACATTCTCCTCTCTTCAGGTGGACACAAGTGAAGAACTCTGATCTGTTTCAATTTGTCCATCCTCTATCTTTCTGTAAGTGCTCAAACCCCAATGTGTGAACACAATGCTGTGGGAGAAAGGGCAGGTACATCCCAGTCCTGACAGTTCAGTGTATGAAGGAGACTAGCCACACTCAACATCTGGAAGCCATTAAAGGGTCACTTACTCTTCACATGGAGTTGTACATAGGCCTTTTCAATTTTGTTGTCTCTGTTTAAAATTTCTATCATGTACAATCCTGCATCTTTCTCAGTGACATCCTGGAGAAGCATGGATCCATTGGTGTACACCGTTTCTCTTTGGCTATGTGCAAGCCCCCAGATGGTGGAATTTATGGCTTTGCTATATTCTGCAATTTTAAAGATGTCTGTCCTATACACAGATTTGTACCAGAAAAATGCTTGAAGATCATCTGGCAGATTATGAACTACGAGAAGAACATGTTCCCCTTCAGCAGCATACTGAGGCTTTGATTCGACTGTGACTTGGGCAGAGGTGAGAAAGTATGTAGAAAGAGAGGCTGTAAGAGAAAAAAACTCATCAATTGATGGGAAGGTAGCAACCTCTGTCCTGAACAGATGGATTCATCACTCAGCCTAGAGATAAAGTTGGGAGTGTGTCTATCTTTCAAGGTAGAGATCAGAAGCATGACCTCCATTCTCTCAGTGCCTATGAATGTGTCATTTCCCCTGCAAGGAGCTCTTTCTGTCATTATGAATGCCCCCTCCCTGCCCTCAGTCAGACATTGTACAACTCATGAACAATGCAATTTTAGATGATCCTTCCACTGAACTCTACAGGCCTTTTCCAGTTTGCTTCATGACTCCAGTCAAGCCCTGACTTCATTTATTAGATGTGCTTTGTGCTTTTCTCTGAATCCTACAGGACTAGGCTGGGTGAGAGAAGGAGAAGTTTGGTCTTCTTTGCAGGCTCAGGTCATAGAAAAGTCTCAGATACTAGGATGACTGGTTTTATGTCAACTGGACACAAGTGAGTGTCCTTTGAAAAGTTGGATACTCAACTAAAAATGCCAGTGTCAAATTGACCTGTGAGCAAGCCTATAGTTTATGCTATACATTTTTAAGTGGAGATTATTCTGGGAGAGTCCAGCTCACTGCAGGCAGTTCCAGCCTTGGGCTATTAGTCTTGAGTAATGAAAGAAGGCAGGCTGACCAAGCCATAAGGAGCAAGTCAATAAGCAGCAATCCTCCATGTGCTCTGCACCACCTCATAGATTTTATTTATGACACTCACACTGAAGCTAACACATACTCCCATTTGATATAGACAGCTAAAAAGCACTGTTCCCTGTTAGCTCTGAGAAATGCGAATTGATTCCTGGACAAATAATCTCCAGGGATATATGTAGTCAAGTCTGGAACACATAACAGGGTCATGGCTTCTTTGGGCTCACCTCTCTATGAGGATGCTATGGATTCATATATATATCATATATATATATGTATATATATATATACATATATATATATGATATAGCCTGACATCTTATGCTGAATTGCTTTCCATCAATGTCATCCTTGATAAAGGATGGAGTCCCAATAAAGAGTGTGATCTATGATGATTTATCTCTACCTAATGTGTCCTGCACTAACTGCTCAATCCCACAACATGAGGACACACAAGAGAGGAGGTAGGCACAGGCCAGGCATGACAGTCCTATGTGTCTAAGCTTCAACCAGCACTGAACAATGGCAGAGAGTCACTTACTGTCCACCTTCAGTTGCACATGTGCTATTTCAGCTTTCAGATCTGTACTCAGAGTTTGTAGGGTGTAGAATCCAGTGTCTCTCCAGATGACATTGTAGAGCAGCAGGGATCCATTGCGGAACAACGCCTCTCTACCACTGTGCGCAGGCCCCTGCACAGATGAATCTATGGCTCTTATGTGTCGGGCAATCTCAAACTTCTTGATTGCGATCACCCCTTTGTACCAGAAAAGAGCTTGGAGATTCTCAGGAAGATTGTGAACAAGTAGAAGAACATTTCCCCCTTCAACAACTTTGGGTGGCACTAATTCAATTGTGGGCAGGGCAGATGTGTGAGGGCGTCCACAGGTGAAAAGGGAAGCTAGAAGAGCAGAGAGAGATCCATCAATATTGGGACATTTGTCTTTTGCTAAGATTTGTCCCTCTGTCCTGAACTGCTGTGTTCATTTCTCAGCCTAGATGTTTCTTTAAGTGTCTCCGTTTCTTACTTGGTGGAGATCAGCATATGACCTCCATGTTATCATTGTCCCCAAAATAGTCATTTCCACTGTGTGGCACTGTCTTCTCAGATATCAGCATGGATAGCTCACTGCCCAGTGACCCCTGCTCACATTTATTGTAGATGGGTGTTGGGGTGATGCCTACAAAGCCCTTGCATACCCTGTGTTTTCAATCTCTGGCTTTTGTAGTTGTCGTCTTCTTGTTGTGGTTCCAGTCAACACTTACTTCACAACATAGGTTTTGTTTTACTTCAAGCCCACTTGAACTAGGGCCTTATAAGTATTTGTCTTATACTTTTAAAAAATGCTGCCAAGGAAAAAAAATCTCAGATACCTGTAGAGAAGCAATGAGTTAACAATGTCCTTGGAGCCTGTATGCCTTTGCATTTAAGAAATTTGCAGGCTTGTGATATATATATATATATATATATATATATATATATATATATATATTGAAATTTTGTTTCTTGGGCTTTGTTTTTTGACACTTATTTACAAATTATATTTGTGTGAGAGTTTGTGTGCAAAAACATGTCTCAGTGTGGGGTATGGGTGCAGGACACAGTAGTTAGGTAGATGTCAGAGGACAACTTGTTTGCCTTGCTTCTCAGCTCAGCTCTTCAGACAATTAAACAAATAACTATATCCATTAAGCCATGTCACTGATCAACACCAGCTTGAATTCTTTTTGTGGGGGGGTAGCCATAACTAAGAACATCAGTCTTTAGAATACTGAGGTCATAGTAGTCTTACTTTGGGTAAGACCAATATCTTCCCATTCACTTACCATATCCTGTTCACTGAGACCTTCCTGATGCTAATAAACTGTCTAGCCTTATGTCTTCTCCACTACAAGCTTCAAGACTCCTTTCTGGTTCTTGTCCCTTTTATGATACCCCAGATGGTAAGTCAGTCCTCTACTCTGACATAATATCAATGTGAGTTCTCAGCTTTGAGCAGGAGCCCATGAGAGGTAGTGTACAGTTTGCAGAGGAGGACAGACTTGTTTCTGTGGCACTATATGTCTTCCAGCACAGCCCCTAAGCTCTGCTGCCCTCCCCCCATCTGGGCCAAGCCCCTTCCTAGGAAAGAATAGCTCCAAGAGTTCCATGGGCTGTGGGTGGGTTTGTATTCAAAACACTGCTCTGCCCTGTCCACTCCTAGGGCTGCCTGGTGTCCCTCTCTCCTTCTGTACTTGTGTTTTATTCCTCTAGAACACACTGTGAACAAGGCTGATGGCATTCCTATGCCTGGAGAGAACAGTTGTGAGATCTAGAACTAGCATCTTCTGCGTCCTGGTCTTGGTCTGTTAGTACTAAAAAGGGAATCTCTGCTCTTATGCGTGATGCACAAACCCAGCTAGATACACAGTATACCCTGTGACTCCAGTGTTCTTTAAAGATGGAATGTACTCTCAGCACAAAGGGGACAGGGATGTCTGTGAGGGCTCCAAAGGGACCAGCTGCATGATACACTAGGAAAGGGGCAAAACTATTTTCACTGCAGTCACTAATCAGGATTCTGATTCAGGTCTCAAATCTTGGATGCATGGGAATAAGAGACCTGAGTCATAGGAAGCTGGTGTGCATTCCACTGTCCATGTAGAGGTGCAATACAATGTTCCCATTTCCTCTGCTTACTAACTGTATCTGTCCTGGGGTTTCTGTGTTCCATTAGACTTTAGTCTAAGAGAGCTAGACATCAATGTAGCAGTCACAGGAAGCACCCAGTAGGTCTGAGAAAACCGTGCCCTTGACTTTCAAGTATGTAGTGACAGAAGTAAAAGCCAGGATAAAAGGTAAGTTCTTGGTTCATGCCAATACTTTTCTGATTGTTGATTCTGCATCCAGCTGCTACCCCTTGTAATCACTGGAGGAACTGCAGCTCATGTCCAGGGACATGTCCATGTGAGCAGAGCCTCTAGCAGTTTGTCTTTAGGTGAGGATTTCCTGAGCTGAATCCCAGAGAACAAGACCTTTCAGGAGTACCTGCATCATCTGTCCCTCTCTTTTGCAACCATGGTCTTCCTGGAAATTTCATAAGCACACCAGGACAATTATATAATGGCCTGAGCACCTGTTGAGCTCTGTTATCCCTGCTGAGTCCCTGGAGATATCCAGAGTCTTGAATAAAGATGGCTTTCATGACAGTGCACTAGCTGCTTACACATGTCACCAGATTTCAACTTTTAAAAAGAACTGCTCCCTGACATCAGGAAGTAAAAATATAAACCTAGAATAAAATGTTTCTCAGGGCTACCTAGTATTGATTCTGAGACAGAGGTTTTCAACCAGAGATTCCTGTGAGAACCCCACTGCATTTTTCAACCAAGCCCACTCTCTGTCCCTTGAGACTTTCTCAAGGACAAATTCCTTTCTAGAACCCCAAGAGTCTAGACAGTGGCTGATACCCTAGGTTGAGTTGCCCAGCACACATCCAGTTGCTGCAATGTGACATCAAATGAAAGACTGGTTTATTGCAGTTATTCTCCACTATGTGTGCCCTGAACTAAATGCTCAGACACCAACAGGGGAACACAATGCAGGGCAGAGGTAAGCACAAGCTGGATTTGTTTTGTGTGTAGCCCAACCCAGAGTTCATGAAGAGTTACTTACTGTACACTCGGAGGTACATGGTCGTTGTAGATACAGTTTTTCCACTTCTATTTATTGTTCGTAGGGTATATAATCCTTTGTCCTTCTGGGTGACATTTTTGATCAACAGGGATCCATTGCTATACAAAGTTTCTCTTCCACTGTACCAAGGCCCTGTCGCACTTTGATTAGTAGTCAGTGCATATAGTGCAATTCCACGCCTCGCTTTCTTCACTCTTTTGAACCAGGCAAAAGCTAGAAGATTCTCTGGGAGATTGCTGGCACGTAGAAGAACATTTTCTCCCTCAATCACTTGAGGTGGCACTGACTCAATGGTGATTTTGACAGTGGTGGACAGATGCCAGCAGGTTAAAAGGGAGGCTAGACAGCAAAAGAGGAAAACAATCAACATTGCACAGGTGTGTTCATCACTCAGTTTAGAGGTGAGGGTAGGGGCGTGTCCACCCTCCTGATAGAGGTGAAGAACATGGCTTCCATTCCTTTAAAGTCTCTAACTATGTCCTTTCCTCTATATGGGTTTCTTTGCTCAGGTGTCTTCGTGACTCTCCACAGTGTCCCCATATCCCTCTTCACATAAAGTATTTGGTTTGAGGCACAATACCTCTCTGATGTCCTTCCTCCTCTAGAGTGTCTTTACTTTCTGACCTTTTCTCTGTTCCTTTTGTGTTTCTAGCCAAACTGAGACTTCATATCCCAGCTAATCTGATTGTCATCTACTTTAGCCATAGTTTTGTGAGGACATGAACTCTTTGGAAGGTTCAGCTTCTGAAAAAGACATACACCAGTGGAGAATGGAAAGGATGAAAGAAGGAAGGAAGGAAGGAAGGAGGAAGGAAGGAAAATGAACAAGGAAGAAAGGAAGAGAGGAAGGAAGGAAGGAAGGAGGAAGGAAGGAAGGAAAAATGAACAAGGAAGAAATGTGTCCATGGATCCATCTACATATTTCCAAGATTTGAAAATAATGACAATAATTGTACTCGAGTGTGATTTGATGTTCCCACATTAACTTATGTATTGCATGAGTCTATTTGTGAAGGACATGTCTTAGCATGTGCATGTGCCAGTCAATGCAATTTTGCTTGTGTAGAAGAAGCACATGTGCCAGTGTTCACACTTGCAGGTGCATGTGTCAGCTCCTATCTGGAAAGCAAAGTTGATCTTTTTGGAGTCTGTTCTTTCAATATACTACATGGGGGTTGAAGAATTAATTTAAGTTGTATATCTGGACACTGAGCAACTTCAGTTTTGAGAGTCACCCTGTCATGTTTGGGGACATTAGGCTTCATAACATGGCAGCCAATATGACTGACTTTGAATATTAAGTGTGTGGGGTTTTTTCATTTTTACATAATTGCCTCCTCCTATCTTAGGAAAGCTTGTGGCTGCTGAGTCTCTGTCCATCACTGTACCTTCTGCCCTATGATTGCAAGCAGAACTCCTGACCCTTCTTTGAGTCTCCTTTCTTATTTAAGAGACTCCAAATTGCTTCCTAAATTTCCCCCACCTCCACACTCAGAGAGTAGGTACATGTACCTGTGAGCAGGAGTCCTTGCCAGGGTGTGTAGCCCTTGCAGAGAATCACAGAGGACACCACCATCTTCTTACTGTGACATCCACCCTCTGAGAAGAAGATTTTCAGCTTCAGCACAGCTCCCAAGTTCAGCCGTCCTTTTCCTTTTAAGCTTAGTGTCTGCCTAAGCAGGATCCCTTCTCAGAATCCAATAGGCTGTGAGCAGTGCTGTCTGTCATTCTCTGTCCCTTCCACTTTCAGTGCTGGCCCACATGCCTCTCAACTTTTCTCTCTTTATATTTTACCTCTAAGCAACACATGGAGCAACACGGACGATAAGCATCCTATGCCTTCAGAGAATAACACACCCAAGGCTGAAACATGCTTTGGGTCTCTCAGTTGCAATGAGGAATGCTCAGTCCTACCTATGTGTCTATGTGGCCCAGAGACCCAAGTGAACACTCCATGTTCCCTGCATTCTTGGTGGATTTAAGAAGGTGAATTTTACTCCTAGCAGGATAGTGACAGAGATGTCTCTGAGAACTACAAAGGAACCAACTGAGTGATAACTTGTGTAAAATGACAAACATATGTAAAAGGACAAACTTATGTAAAAGGACAAAGTTCAGATCCAGAAGAAGCCAGAGGTGAGCTGTATGAATTGGAAAGAACCATGGTTCCCTCTTTCCATGAAGGGTTTCATGGCAGCATTCCAGCATATTGTTGCAGGGCATCTGAAATATCTGAAACAAAAAGAATAATGTTACATGTTATGTCAGCATAAGGAAAGGGAAATTCTTTTTTTTTTATTTTTTTATTTTATTTAATTTTATATAACAGTCCAATTAAATGAAGACAAACATTTATACACAATATTTGGGAATTTGGGCGTCGTTCTTTCCAAACTACTTCCTGCTGGTAAGGGGCACTGTCTTGGGGGATTCGAAGAAGATTCAGATATCCTGGCTGTAGTCTGCAGGGCTGTTTTGTCCAGCTGTTTTGAATGTAAGATCACCTGGTACTCTGTTTCAGGTAGTCTGGCGTGATCAAGCCACATTAGTCTGGAAGGAATCCACATCTTTTCATTTTCTGTGGAAACAAAAATAGAAATCCTTTTCCCCAGTAACTTGTCCTTCAACTTAAATTTTGGAGTCAAAGCATTTTTTTAATTTAATTTATTGTTTTACATGTCGATCCCAGTTCCCTCTCCCTCCCTCCCTCCCTCCCTCCCTCCTTCCCTTCCTTTTTACCCTCTCTGCCCTCTCACATGCACTCTAAACACCCTCCCCTCCCATCCCCCCACCCCAATTCCATATGTAGGGGAATGCCATCCAGTTAGGGTCATGTAGATCTGACAGGTCCTGTGAAGTAGGGACTAGGGCTTCTCTCCTGTCTCTAGATTAAGGCAGTTATCCCTCCATGGGGGATGTGTCCACAAGGTCCTTTTGTGAGCCAGGGATACATCCTGGCTCCACTGTCTGAGGTCCCTTAGACTGCTCAGCCCTTCTGGCTGAGACCCATATTCAGAGGGGCCTGAGTCAGTCCCATGCTGGCTTCCCAGCTCTCAGTCTGGGGGGGCCATTAACTCCTCCTTGTTCAGGTAAGCTGTCTCTATGTGTTTCTGCAGCATGGTCTTGTCCTCTCCATCTGCATCTGGGTTCTAGTTCGACTCAGTGTTTATGTATGGGTGTTTGAAACTGTTTTCAACAGGCATTAGTTGAGGGCTCCATGGAGAAGTTAGTTGTTGATCTCACTCTCCGGGAAGGGCATTTATGATAGCCTTTCCACGGAAGCTCAACTTGTTAGTTGGGAGCAGTCTTATAGTTCTCTCGACCTTTCTTTGTGTTCAATTTTATCTTCAAACCAATATTGGCTCCCCCTTTTATGTTCTCTCTCTCTGTCTCTCTCTCTCTCTCTCTTTCCTATCTTCTATTCCTAACCAGGCTCAATATTCCTGGTCGCACATGTTTTCCTTTCCTCCCCCTCGTTTTCTCCTACTTCTCTCTCCATTCGCTGTCCTCCCCCACTTCACCTGAGCTCTGGGGGACTTGTCCCTTCCCAGTTCTGTGAGGGACTTTATATGAATCTCTTAGAATACACCTTGTATCCTAGTTTGTCTGGTGATGTGAATTATAGGCTGGTGATTATTTGATCTAGGTCTAAAATCCATATATGAGTGAGTACATACTATGTTCCTCTTTTTGTGACTGGGTTACCTCATTCAGGATGGAAGATAGGAAAGAGAGAGAGACAGAGACAGAGACAGAGAGAGAGAACATAAAAGAGGGAGCCAATATTGGTTTGAAGATAAAATTGAACACAAAGAAAGGTCGAGAGAACTACAAGACTGCTCCCAACTAACAATCTCAGCTTCCGTGGAAAGGCCATCATAAATGCCCTTCCCGGAGAGTGAGATCAACAACTAACTTCTCCATGGAGCCCTCAACTAATGCCTGTTGAAAACACCCATACATAAACACTGAGTGGAACTAGAACCCAGAAGCAAATGGAGAGGACAAGACCACGCGGCAGAAGCACATAGAGACAGCTTACCTGAACAAGGACGGCCATTAGACTGATAGCTGGGAAGCCAGCATGGGACTGACTCCGGCCCCCCTGAATATGGGTCTCAGCCAGAAGGACTGAGCAGTCTAAGAGACCTCAGACAGTGGAGCCAGGATGTATCCCTGGTGCACAAAAGGACTTTGCGAACATATCCCCCATGGAGGGATAACTGCCTTAATCTAGAGACAGGAGAGAAGCCCTAGTTCCTACTTCACAGGACCTGTCAGATCTACATGACCCCAACTGGATGGCATTCCCCTACACATGGAATTGGGGTGGGGGGATGGGAGGGGAGGGTGTTTAGAGTGCATGTGAGAGGGCAGAGAGGATAAAAGGGAGGGAAGGAGGGAGGGAGGGATGGGGGAGGGAGGGAAGGAGGGAGGGAGAGGGAACTGGGATCGACATGTAAAACAATAAATTAAATTAAAAAAACGCTTTGACTCCAAAATTTAAGTTGAAGGACAAGTTACTGGGGAAAATGATTTCTATTTTTGTTTCCACAGAAAATGAAAAGATGTGGATTCCTTCCAGACTAATGTGGTTTGATCACGCCAGACCGCCTGAAACAAAGTACAAGCTAATCCTACATTCAAAACAGCTGGACAAAACAGCCCTGCAGACTACAGCCAGGATATCTGAATCTTCTTCCAATCCCCCCAAGACAGCGCCCCTTACCAGCAGGAAGTAGTTTGGAAAGAACGACGCCCAAATTCCAAAATATTGTGTATAAATATTTGTTTTCATTTAATTGGACTTTGTTATATAAAATTAAATAAAATAAAAAAATAAAAAAAATTAAATTTAAAAAAATTCTTTGACTCCAAAATTTAAGTTCAAGGACAAGTTACTGGGGAAAACGATTTCTATTTTTGTTTCCACAGAAAATGAAAAGATGTGGATTCCTTCCAGACTAATGTGGTTTGATCAAGCCAGACCACCTGAAACAGAGTACCAGGTGATCATTCAAAACAGCTGGACAAAGCAGCCTTACAGACTACAGCCAGGATTTCTGCATCTTCTTAGAATCCCCCATGACAGTGCCTCTTTCCAGCAGGAAGTAGTTTGGAAAGAATGACGCCCAAATTCCCAAATATTGTCTATAAATGTTTGGACTTGGTTATATAAAATAAATAAATAAATGAATGAAAAAAGAATATTTTATAGCATGCACAAGCCCTAATCCATCACATCAGCCTCAGTGTACACTCAGGAGACCACTGATCCTAAATCTGATATGTCCCTTTCTCCATCACCCTAAGATTCTCTAGGCAGAAGTTCCACTACCCAGTTGTATCTAAATCTTGAGCCTTGTTACATGTTCTTGGGTTTTCTGGCCATCCTAGGCATTTTTTTTTGTGGTTCTCTGTCCAAAACTGAAGGGGGACCAAGTGTTCAAGCTTTAGCTTTCTGTATATAAGCAGTTATACCCATGATGCAACATAATTAAATCACAGGTAATAGTCAGGTTGAGTGGGTCACTTTGTTTGGCAGTCACTCGCTTCAAGATTATATATTCATAGGGATCTGCACCAGTTGTAGCACTGAGAATCCTATTCCCTAGGACATTATCAGGCTGCCACCTGCTAATAGGCTATAACAAATAGGTTATATTATGACTCTCAGGTTCATGCTTTAAGACTACCATCATCATGTTCTATACGGATGGATTTTTTGCTTGTGATACTGGCCTTGGGGAACACTGTCAGTTGCATGAGGATAACAGACAGAAAATGTCCCCTGTGGGACATATAATTGCAAAATATTCTTTCAACCACTATTGGTCTCTCTAATCTCCATCCCCAAACCATTTTCTTAGAGAGTTAAGTACTTAATGACTCACAGACAGATACAGGATGTAGGTGCTCAAAGATGATGAATCTCTATGCTGTGTGAGAGAAACAGTCTTTGAGATGAGCTGCAGAGCTTGATGGTATATTCATAGGACCAGGATTAGGAACATCATTGTCTTCTTTGGCCCTCACTGAACCTCTGCCTGCCTAACACTATGGAGTGCTGTATCCACCCAATATCACTCCGATGCTAAGCCAACCAAGGTTTTGCTGTTCAGGGCTATGCTCTACAAAGGACAGAATAAGACACCCCATTGAGTTTTCCTGAGACGTACCCACAATCCATCTTCGGGATTTGATATTCGTACAGAATGCTCACACATGACCAAAAATGGGACTGGCGTTCAGCTAACTACCCAGGCTGTACCATAGCATGTGCCAATCTTCCCATGTGTTTGATGGTGACTGACTTGAGTACTCCAAATGTAAACATTGAATATCAGAAGGATCTAGGAAAGTGAAGGTTATGGTGCAGGGAACCATGTGCTTGGCCCAGCACAGATGCCTTAAGAGGCGCATATCTTAGATTTTTCATGTTAGAGTTCATGGCTCCTGGGGCACTGGGTGTCTTTCAGTTACTGAGAAGCTGAGGAGTTTCATCAGGCAAAGAAGCATTCAAACCACTTTGAATTTTTCTAAGTTCCCTTGGAAGTGAATGAAGCATATAGTTTGACACGCAATTGGTCT